TAGGTAATTATTGATGTGATTGAAATGTTCAAGTTGATCTGAAATAAACGAATGCTATGCTATTTATCACAAAGAAAATTCCTGTTATGTTTGTACGACTATTTTGTGGTTTCTAGACAATTTTTAAAATACTTCGAATACCTACAATACTTTTTGGAAATATATCATATAGGTACTCTAGTAAACTGCAAAATTAATTGCTGCCACAGAGTGATGAAATATAACAAATAACCATTAAAGAATTGTCAGCCAATCACTATTCTTTTAACCTTCCGTTAGACGCGCACTTGTTTCCGACATGGTTAGTCGCGTTGCACCTATAAGGTGTTTTTGAATTTTTTAAAGTCAAGTGAAATTTATTCTAGTTTAAATAGTTAATTGTTACCTATTTAAGATTCTTTAGATAGATTAAGTATGAAAAAACTTATTTAATTACTAAAATATATGAAAAAACTGTATCACAAATAATTGCACAACATAAAGAAAAACAAAGAAAAGTAAAATTGTAAAAAAACATTGAGAGTCTTGCATATCGGAACATCTTATTTCAATATCACATGTTAGTATAAAAATATTATCTTAGAGGCTGTCTGATGCAGAACTACCTTCATGTGAACAAGAATTTTTGCAAGAGGTCTTTACAAATTGTTGTTACATTACTCAAACATAAGTGTTTTCCGCAAGTAGCATATGTATAATTATTTTTTTCTTTGTTTATTTTTTTTTTGACATGGTGCGCACTATTTTCTTTTCTTGGCTTGATTTTCTGACAGTGAATTTTCTGAGGCTTGCGAAGTTTGCTTCTGCCAATCGAAAGCGAAGTACTGAAGATAAATTTTTCTTGCTCCTGCGTCGGATCATTTCATCCATCACAAGTTGTTTAACCAATTGACCCAAGAAGGTTCTGCGGTTTTTCACTTTGTAACCATTTTTTGCGTATATAACTTGACCATTTATACCTGCTATGTTGAGTAGGGCAGAAAATAAGATAAAATATAGATATTTATTTCATAAAAATATTATATCCATAATACTTGGGTCAATGGTCGCGTTGCACCTCTCCATCGAAATGTTCGAAGGCCGGGAGTACATGGACCTTTGAGTAATTCAAAGATAAGAAGATAACATTAGGCTCATCCCCCGGAAGAATCTATTGATGGCAAAGGAGGTGGAAGTGCAGTAAAGATGCACCTGTGAGGTGCGCACGTCTAACGGAAGGTTAAACAAAAATACAAACCATGTATATCATTATGAATATTTCTTAATATTCTGAAAATTACTTTACTACATGCTTGTTTCTTAAAAGTTTATTTAAATGTTTATCATACTTTTTGAAAAAAAGAAAAAAATGTTGTCAAAAGAAATGCTTAATCTTATTAACATTATCAGTTTCTTTGTTTAAATTTTTGAAAAAATGTGGCTGTGTTATAAGTTCTACAACTGGCCAGTTGCAAAATTTCCTAACTTTGCCCTATATTCTCAAGCATGTGTTTCAAAATCAAATTAAGTATGAAATGTATTTGCTTCATCTCTGATTCTTAAAAAAAAAATATTTATATTAAATTAACTTGTCCCATTACTGTAGTTTCCTTTCAATGCTTCATTGACACTATGCAGAACGAAGATAAGTGGAAAGATGGATTCTTCTTTCCAAGGACACCAAGGGATTAAATTATCAAATTTCCAATCCCCTTTTTAGAAAATATGAAGATAAGTACAGATTTTTTGTAAAAAAATCTTTCTTAAAGGGTTAAACCAAAAATTGCAATGTCCTTTACAGTGGCATATTAACAGCGAACATACAGAGTTTTAATGTATGTTCGAGAGGAGTTACCGATTATCTCCTTCTTGTGATATAAATATACTCATACTAAATGTTTAAATGACAGAAAAAAGAGAAAATCACAATTTTTGTTTTCATGTCTACATCCTACTTATCGTAGAATAGTTCATTAATCAAGTAATGTTTAATTTTGTCTTGTCCTCCAAACCCTCTCCAAAACTACAACGCTGGTCCTTTGTTGTTCCGATCAGCCAAGAAATTCAGGGAATGGGTAACCGAATAAACAGCTCTTAATCGTGTTGTGTTGCCACAGGAAAGTAGACCCATAGACAGTGTTTAAACTATTTCATTCAGATGACAAAGTAAATAACATGCCTAGTTTATAACAGGGTTTGTTGACTTAAATCATGATTTAAATCAAATGATTTCAGAATGATATTGCTGCATTGATTAATTTTAGTTAACAAAATTATTTTCTTTCTTGGCATGTGTTGAATTCAAACACATTTGAAATTATATTTTTAAAAATCTTTTGATTCTTGAGATTGAAAGTACAGATTAAAGAAAACATTTAAGTATTTTTTTCTCATAATATGTTTACAGTATCTTAGACATTATCTAATTTTCTATAAAGAAATTCTGTGGAAAAAAATTTTCATGAGTACATAGATTTAAAAAAAAAATTTTTTTTAGCTTAACTTATTTATCTTGATATAGGATTAAAAATGAATATTTTAATGTAAAAATATATAGATTAAATATTTTTTTTATGAATGACTACATTTATGAACACAATCTGTTACATTTATTTTGTCATTATAAAACTGAAGAGAAAAAAAAGGAAATGGAAATTATGGTTTGGTAATTGAAACTTTGTTTTAATAGTTAAAGCATTCTTTAAATTCTCTTTCATCTAGTTTTTAAATTTCAATCTTGCATTTGTTTCAAAATGGTTGCTATGCATTCAAAGCTTGTATTATAATGAAAAATGGTTTTAGGTAGTTAGAGCTTCTAAAATATTCTAATAACATAGTTTTAATATTAATTTAATTTTTATTAAACATTTATAAAGTTTTTTAGTCATAAATCAAAGTTCTTTCAGTGTATTTGAATTTTTTAAAAATCTGATTTTTTTTTAAAAAGTAAAATAAATCACAAACCCTGGTTTATAATATAATTAAATTTTATTATTGATTGATAGTTCATTTATGTCGCACTAGAGCTGCACAATGGGCTACTGTCGATGGTCTGGGAAACATCCCTGAGGTTGTTAAATTTGTTTGAAACATAATACTGCATAAATTGTGTATGATGGGATCATAGAATTAACTTTGAAATGAATAAAAAAAAAAAAATTAACACTAAACATTTCTAGTGATATCAAACATATTATACCTGTATTCATATTTATCATTTAAGTATACTTGTCTGAATAGAGAATTAATTCTCGAGTCATATTTCTTTCTGTAAAAGAAACATATTATTAACACTTTTAAACAAGGTGTTAATTTATTCAAATGTTATTGATGCATTTTACATTCATGTAATTAGCAAAATATAAAAAACAGCAGAAATTTTTCAATAAACCATTAGGCAGGTATACTGCTGTTTTATTGGATGAAATGTTGGTGACAAGCTTTTCTGAAGCATTATAATACATTATTCAAATAGAGATATTGAATAATATGTTAAATATATTTCATGTTACCAAGTATAGTTACTTTTCTATGCAATTTGACAGTCTGCAAAGGACAATTTAGCAGTGAAAATTAAAGCAAATCCAAAAATTGATTTCGAATATTAGCTGATGCTAATATTCCAATAGATTTGATGATTGATTATGATTTGATGCGCATGTTTCTATCGAAAATCAACGTCTTTTTTTTGTTGCTGTTATAATTGCTTTTTTATCTATTTACCCAAAACTTTGATCTCTTTAACATGTTAACATGACACGAGAATTTTGAATTTGAATTACCACTTTTCGATGCGCTTGATTCATGACGATTTCATAGTGAAATGATGCTTTTTTTTAAATACTGTTATTTTTGTTATGATGACAATATGGAAATTTGAGTAATTAATCTTTTAAATGCTTGTTTTATGATGATACCATTGTTAAATCTTGCTGGTTGCTAATAGTTTCTCGACAGCAGTTAATTGATTTTGAAATACATAATAAGATGCTCCCCCATTCACAAGGATTTTGTCTTAAATACATGCCATTTCCTAGAAAGGGAAAACTTCCATATCATGATCTTTAGCACAAAAAAAGTTTTGGCAACCTCTAAGCAGCAGTCCAGGAGAAACTAGAAAAAAAAATATTCCCAGGAAAATTATATCATGGTTACCTTTTTTAAAAATATGCAAGTTTAAAATCCATTTGGTGCCTTGGCGATTGTAGTTTCAGAGTTATACCAAATACAGAACTGTCCCCAACTCACAAAATAAAAAACACAGTTTAGATCATCATATCTTACAAACATATTTATCACATACAGAATTCGTTAAGGGATTCCGTTGTATCGTGATCTGTCGCTATAGCTGCAATTGCTAAAGTGCCAAATGGATTTTAAGCTTGCAAGTTTTTTTTAAAAAACACACGTAGACCTTTGCTTTGGTTGGCTAAAAGTTATACCTTTCAAGTTTGTCCCTTTCTGTGTTTTTTTTCTAGTTTCTCACAGGCCACAGCCTGGAAGTTGCCAAGACTTGGCGATTATTCTGCCACAGATCAGGATGTGGAAATCTCTTTTATCCCTAAACCTAGAAATATGTTTAACGTAACTGTGTGGGCTAAAAGAAAAATTTAACATTGGGATTTTTATCATAAAAGGGATAGAAATAATAAGAAAGAAGAATATGGAGTAAAAGTAACTACTTGTAAATTGAATCCAAGGGGCATTCGATTCTGCACCCTAACCTACAGAGAATCGTTTGAACACAAACTATTATTAATTCAAAGAAACTAAAAAACTGTGTCTTTACTCTTTAGTACTGACCAGAGCACAGTACTGATTTACAACAAAAATAGCTGATCAAGAATATAACCAATTCTATCGTATTTCGCGCGTAATAACATAAATAAATAAATGAGAGATGTGGTCATTTCACTTCAGTTCTTAGTTCCAAAAAAAAGTCATTTTTAAGCTTCGTTTTTGCTGCTTTAATACCATGGATCCAAAAAGCATAACAATAAACATAATAATACAAAAAGCATAGCAATCAACCAAACAATCAGTCAATGAAAATCAGCTGTGAAATGACAATCAGTTATGAAAAGTACTAGAATAATGGAATGCTTAATATCTGTTGCCTGTGAAAATATATTTTGTACTTCCGTATAAATAAACTCGTTTAATTAGACCTTCCATTTGACAATGCAAATATCCATTTTGTGAATAAACTATTCCAAGTAGAAATTTAATTTTTAGGTAAAGTTTGACGACTTATAAGAAGAATCATATTAGATCAAATAAACTCATAATTACATTTTATTCATAATTTCATAGACAAGATAAGAACTATATATATGTTGGTACAATAAAAATTTCCGTATCTTTTAATTGAACTAACAACCTGTCTATCGTTATGAAATAAAAATGATTTAGTGGCAATCAAGTTTAGAGTACTGAATTGAGGGCCCCTTGGATTGGGCATAATAATTTTGGAGTGTTTACTATAGATGAAATCTTCCATTTTTCTTTTCTTTTAATAGTTATTTTATTTTGTTGTTGAGAAAATGCCCTTATGTTTAACTCATTTTCCCTGATTTCTACTAGAACATTACAAATTGCAAAGTTATCTGGGGTACCTGGTATTCAAACTTGGAATTTAATCTTCATGATTCGAAATTAAAATAAAATTAATTAAAGAAATTATTTACCCCTCAATAAATTCTGTTTCACTGCTTTCTTTTTTTTAATTCTGTTTGCTGTGACATTTGAAATCAAAACTTTTCCCATCAGGCAGCATAAATTTCCTCTGTGGGGGGATGAGTAAGATTTGGTAACAGTTTTAACCAAGAAAATGTTAATGTTACTCAGAATTCAGACACAAAAAAATAACTACTTTTTTAATTGTAAATTTAATTACACAAATATTGAGCTAAAAATTTTTATCTTAAAAGGGGCTGTTTTTTTCATTTATAAATTTTGAGTAGGCTAAAGTACCCTCTGTCTCCCTGGTTCTGCAGTACCTGCCACCACCTCTTAAAAGTATAGCATAGTGGCCACTTTCTCTAGAATTGGAAAAACCAGCAATTCTCAGGGTATTTCAAAATATCACTGGAATTCTCTGATAAATTGGCAATTTCTTCTCAAATTTTTTAAAGTATAAAGCAATGGTCAGTTTTATATCTGGGTAATTCTCCAAAAGGAGAGATTTCCGTATCTTGATCTGTAGCAGAATAATTTCTAAGTCTTGGAAACTTCCAAGCAATGGCCCGCGAGAAACTAAAAAAAATCATCACAGAAAGGGACCAACTCGAAAGGTATAACTCGTAGCCTTCCCTTGGCTAACATTGACATGTTTTTTGTTTAAAAAATACGTAAGTGTAAAATCTACTTGGCGATTGTAGTTGGTGAATATTTTTAAAATTGTGCTAATTTAAATCATAAAAATCAGGTGAATTATTATTATTTTTTTTTAAATTTTACTCTGGGAATTTGGTTTTATTTGGACAGTGGCCACTTTGAAATAGTTGCATTGAAAAAGAGTAAGTGTTTAATATCTATCACACATATGTTCATATGTCTTTTTCTGCTCTCTCACTCATGCAAATAATAATGATAAATTAAAAAAAATAATCAATAAATTATATCAAGCATGATCATTAAAAGATTATGTGATTATTAAAAGATGTATGAACAAAAGTTCTAAAATAAACAAGCCTTGAAATTCAACAATTTATGCCAATCAATAAATTTTTTCTCAGTTTGCCAATCAATGAACCTTTACTATTAAAGCAACAAATTTCACAATTTATCTCTTTTCAAGTGCAATCAGTGAATATTTTGTTCTTTAGTTTTAGTTAGTTTATAATTTTAAATTAATTTAAATCTACTTTTTTAATAATGTCTCATTTTTTAGATGCTTAAATGGAGTTAGAAGAGTATTGCCAACCATGGGAAAATGATTGCCAATGGGAGGTGAGAAAGGAATTTATCCAATTTTACTAAGATTTTTTCCCTGATAAACTACAATGTTTAGCTCAAGTATATACAAATATTGTATTGTTACAGTGCAGGTATATTTTCTATGAAATAGCATTTTCCTAATTTATAACTAGACTTAGGCCCTTTGGGCTAATCCACTTGGTTGTAATTTACATTTATTGCATTGAGTTATTTAACAACTTTTTAACTATATTTATAAGCATTAAATAGTCTTTAAATTTCTAAGTTTTTGCAGTAATGCAATTAATTTTAACTGTAATTACATATTATGGTAGTGCTTAGCTATGAGAAAAAGTGGTTTTATTTATTTTTTATTTTTTACCTAAATTAATTAAAATAGATCAACTTAATTTATTTTAATTAATTAAAATAAATTTTAACATTGTTTTTGTGCTACTTATAAAAAAAATGTTTTGCAAATATTGAGAATTTTAGGTTAAAACTATGTAATTCTTTTGTCTTTGAATTTGTCAAACAGAATAAGAAAAGTATAAAAGTGTTTTGTGAATTCATATGTACAGCGTAACAAACAAAAAAAAGACCTCCCTGAAGAACTTTAAATTTAATGATCAGATTTCAATTTTCTAATACTCTATATTAATGGCTCGAGGGGGGGACCTCAAGTATGCTAATTAATTAGAGCACATGATATTTTAAGTTATGAAATCAGTCTCAAAAAGCTACTTTCTCAGAATAAACATGCTATTTTTTCAATAGATTTGGATTTCTGACCCTCAAAATATTGGGGGTAACCACAATCTGGGAATTATGTTCCCAATAGTATGGTCAGGAGGACGCTCCAAAGTTTTATTACCAATTAATATTACTTTGCATATATTTCTTCATATCTCGCAAACTTTTAAAGCGAGTTAAAACACTTCGCTCACAATTATAAAAGTAGTTATTTTTTAGCAATGTAAAATCATGCAAAAAATAACTTTTTGTAAATATTTATTATTTTGTAATTATCGAAAAAAATGAATTGTCAGGTATACAATTTTTTACATCATTTAAACGAATGTAATTTACGTAACAAAATACAAAGTTTGAATGAAATAGGTCGAATTCCTGAGAAATTGAATTTCAAAAAAATCAGATTGTTGAAATTTGATTTCTTAGGAACTTATCAACTGATTTTGCTCGAATTGTATGTTTTTCCATGTAAAATTACATTCTTTAAAATTATGCTGAAAATTCTATAGCTTACAATTCAAAGTTTTCTATCATTGTGAAATAAAATATTGATAAATAATAAATATTTACAAAAAAACTTGTTTGGCATGAAATTATTTTTGAATAATAGATTTTTATAATAGTGTAAAAATTTTAAATTTGGTTAACCCACCAATCCAATCATTAGATAATTTTATGTGTGCTGTACATAGTTTTCTTATTAAACTTCTAAGCAATCAGCTTTATTTAAAAATGAAGTTAGTAGTAAATTGTAAAACATTAAATAACTATTTAAGAAACTGAAAATCAAATAAGTGAAAACTAAAAAAGTTATGATCTTTTCATTTACAAATGGCAATGCTTCTAAAGATTTTATTTCAAAAAAGATTGTGATTGTCAAAAGATTATTTTAACATGCTTTAAATGGGAAGATTTACACATTGGTATCTGGTCAGAAATGGTTGCCAAGTTTTGAAGTCAAAAGTTTTAAATAGCGGTATCAATCTTTCGAATTTGCATGCAAAATGTTGCAAAGGTTGTACCCATCCTTAGGCAAGCCGTTATAATTGTTTTTTAAAATCTTACAAATACCAGATCTGGATGAATAGTATAATGGCGAATTAAGTTTGCGCAAATATGTTGGGGAGAGGTGGGCTAATGTGGAACATTCGTTAGAAATTTGTCTAAAAACATTTTTAAATATAATATTTAACTCGTGAAACTTATCTTGCCGAAAAAGTATAAATGTTAACTGTGTATTGAGATGCAGTCCTGGTAGTCCTACTTGTCACAGGCAATGTAAGTTTGGTAACTATATCTTGAATTTCTTTGAACAAGTGAAAAATTCATGATTATAAGAACTATATCCATCTTTTTTGCTTAAGAATTCAACATCATAATCACCAAATCAATAAGCAACTTTTACTCTACCAATACAATGCGCAACACTTTTTTTTTTTTTTTTTTGATTAGTACAAATTTTTCAACTCTTATTGAGTCGGTTTTCTTAAAAAGTTCAAATTTATTTCTATTGATCTCATTGTACTGCAATTCAAGAAAGAAAAAATCTAAAGTTGCTAACTTTTAAATGAAAAAATTCACTTAACGCATACACCACCACTATATGTCTACACTAACCCTGTGAAGACATGTGTTTATTCATGCTTAACGCTGATTAATTGTAACTATACAGAGCAAAAGTTAGCATTAAAATAGGTAAAAGACTATATCATTTATAACATATTATATGAATATTCAGTTGAAATTCTGAAAATTAAATATGTTAAAAGAAAGAGTAAAGCGAAAATTTGAAAGTTACTTTAGCACCTTAAAAACCATCTTATGCAAATTTCTACTAAATTATTTATAGTGTGAGCAAGTGACTGCACATGGTAGTGTACAGCAGTGTTTCCAAGTTACAATATCTCACAGAAGAAATTTGAGCAATAAATAAAAAAGTTATTCAAAATGTCCAACCTTGCTCCCTCTATTCTACCAATATGGAACTAACCCCCTTTTAAATGATTTCATTTTGTGAATTTGACTTTAATTAGGGAATTTTATAGTACATTTGTGGCAATCACTATGATGAAAATTAATTTTATTTCAGCTATCCAACCAAGGTAATGTTACAGATTCAAAAATTTGCAAGGCACCTGAATGCTTTTAAAATAACTAAATAGGACCAAGATTCTACTTCAGAACAGATGGGTAAACAAAAAATTATCTTATTCATTTGTTTGTGTATCTCATTTTTACTGTTTTTTAAATTTTTAGTTTCTCTGTCATTAAATGTGACACAGACACACTGATTTAACCATACTAGTATTAAATATTAACATTTAATGATTCTAGCTCAGTTCATAAGTATACATCATTCATTCAGCTTCAGTTCATAACTAGCTAGGTTATTAAATTAGAAATAAATTTTTATTATTTACCTTCTCTTTATACAAAAGTTCTAGTGAATCTTCTTGTAAAAAAATATTTAGAAATTTTTGTTTTAAATGTGGTTTTACTGTAACTTTTTTCCCTACTTAGTTTTTCAAGCATTTAACAGAGCCATCTTTCGAACTGAAAGATAAATTCTATATTTTTAAAGCATCAATAAACATAGTTGAAGTCAATAATTAATTGGTAATCAATAATTTATTGGTTTAAGAAGAGAGAAGTGACTCATTTTTTACTACATTTCAAAGTAACTTTCTTTCTTGTCATGTTCATTTGTAATGTTTTTGAGATTTCCTCTATATCTCTTAAATCTCTTGTTAAAATATCTTCATTATTGTGTAAGAAATCGTCTAACTGAACATCTGTGTCTTTATGAATATAAAAAAAAAATTATATTAAAATGTCGAATTTAATACAAAAAAATTTTACTCATTAAAAGATTTCATTCTTGAACAGTGAATATTTGAAGGGAGATTTTTCTACCATAAAAAAGCCAGAGCCACTACAAATTCCCCTTAAACTGAGATTTTTACCGGGCAAACTTAATGGTCGGGTTGGCTATAGGACAGCTAAATATTAAAAAAATGGGCAACAAAAAATTTGTTTGCTAATCAACACTTTCTTCGCCAAGAATGTATTCCATGTGTTTTACACGGGAAAACTGTATATATCCAACATGGAACATCCCTGAAACATTCAGTCTATTTTGAACTGGTTCAAAATTTCAAGGGGGTTGAATTTGTTTATTAAAAGTTTAATTTGAGTAAAAGTTATCTTTTCTAACTCTTTTTAAGAAACAGTTGCTTTTTTTAAAAAATTTATGGCCATTTGTATTTATAAGTAATAAAATTTATATAGTTTCATCATTATGATTACAATTGTTTCAGCATTATTTTGTAATTGATAATTTTTTTATTTATTAATAAATATGCATTTATTTTGCATTATTGGCTCAAAAACTCTAACTGTAAGTTTTATTAGCTCTATAAACATTTTATGCAAGATTTAAATTTTACATAAACTTTCTTGGAGAGGACAGGAAAATGTTTCTTCATTTTAGAAATTATCCCCGTAGCATTAAATAAATTTTGAGAAATGATTCTGAGGAAATGATTGTTAAGTAGAGTGCTATTAAACAGAGACTCAACTGTATAATAATCCCTTGTCTATATCAGTTCATCACGACTTATGTAAAGAGTCAAATAAAAATTGATTGTTGGTCTGTTCTTCCTATTATCAGTTCTAGTGAATCTAGCACTTAAAATTAGTGTGGGCCCTAAATTTTAAATCTGGAGTATATTTTATAAAATCATTACTTTCTCAACTAATTCATTTGTTTACTTTTATAATTTCATATGAAGTGTGTTTAAATTCATATGAAGTTTTGCATTTTCAAGAGCCAGAAGTTTAAAAAAATAAAAAATTTTTATTTTTTATTTCAGAGTAGCCTTTTGCATGGTTCCCATGGGCCTTGAAAGTTATAAAAAGTGGCAAGAAAAATTAATCAAATGTCGATATTTTAATTTCTGTGTAACCACCACTAAAAACTGTTTTCCCAAGAAAGTATATATGCATCAAAATTCCAGCTTGTTAAACCACTTAACGATTAAGTGGTATATTGAAATACAAAATATATTCTATCAATAACCTAAATTTACTACCACTACTAAAATCTTTCAAGAACAGCGGGAACCCTGTGTTAGCTTGATTTTATACATTCCAGGGATACTGCATCTTATTAAAAATATGCAGAAAAAATTTCAAATCTTAGAACAAAATTTGAAACAAGATTTAAAGATTTTAATTCTTTGGAAGACAAATTTTGTTTGTTTTCTTCGATTTTCTCAATAAATATAGACTCAGTATCCAGTAATATGCAAATGGAAGTGATTGGGATTCAGTGCGACTCAAATTTGAAGACAAAATTCATTGAAGTAGGTGTGCCGGAATTTTACAAATATTTACCGGCACGGTTTGAAAATACTCGAAAGTTCGCATATGAAATAATTTCCATGTTTGGAATTACTTATCAGTGCGAGCAATTTTTTTTCTGTTATGAATGAAAATAAATCTCCTATCCGAAACCATATTAATAGCTCTGGTTTTGAAAGTAGTCTCGGCCAATAAAATTTCTCCCGAAATAGGAAAGAAGAAGACAATAATTTTACTTTATATATGCTTATTACAATGTACTATTCAAAAAAAATATATTTGTTTCTGTAAACACTGATTTTTTTTAAAACCTTTTTTTTTGAGGCCCACCTAAAGTTAAGCATTGTTTATTTGGCCCTAGTTTGCTTTTGAGTTTGACACCCCTGGTCTAGTGATTACATGCCAAATGCCTTTTTCGTACACATACTAATGATAGCATAGGAATGTAACTCTGTAAATGTAGTCATTTAAAGGTATCTATTACTGCATAAACTAAATAAAATAATAATTATTTCATTAAAGGATTAATAAAATAATATATATTGGCACTTTCGCTATTGCATTTGAATGTGAACTTTCTTATTTATTATTTTTTGTGCAGAGACAAAACAAATATGATTAAGGGGATAAAAACGAATAATCTAACTTCCTTTTACAATTTTTCATTTGTAGTCAACATTTGAGTGAATGTCTAATCAGTATTTTAGGATATTTTTAATTATATGTTTATATGCTGGTCCGAATATGGGCCACCAGACATTTTAGGCTATAATTATAATATAATTTTTGAACCCTGATACATTTAGATTCATATATCTAACTAAAACCCATAATTATTCCATCAACCTATCTACTACCTGTTAATCTTGCTGTAAACCTATTTTTATAATTGATTGTAGACTTCAGTTACCAACAATTCATATCTTAGTTGAAAAAAGCTGCCGAATTGAAATGGATGGTGACTGGTTTTCAAAGCCTGAGCAGACTTTTTTTGATAATTCTCAATTGGGTTATTGTTTATACTACTGTATATTAGCTATTGAAAAATAAGTAAGTTATTGGATTTTAATTTTGCTCTTGGGATACTCATTTTCTTTTATTTGGAATGTGTACAAATATGCAATATTGTACAAATTAAAATCTTGCGTTTCAATTGATCATTCTTTATTAATCATGTTTTTATTTTGTAGGTAAAAGAAAAATTTTAGATCCAGACTCTTTTAAATCCAAAAAACAGTGTGAAAGGGTACAAAACGAAAAGCAAGAGGGAGAAGAGAAGGAGAAGCAGGAAAGGGAAGAAAAGGAAAAACAGGAAAGGAAAAAAAGGGAGGTAAGAGAAAGGAAAAAGAAGAAGAAACAAGAAAGCAAAGTAAAACATGAATGCCTTCCATTAGGTTTAAAAAGTGTTGATTACAAATCACTCATTCAGTCAGAAAACTTCAGCATTATTGAGAAATTAACTGTAGAAGTTCAGAAATTATTGAAGTTGCAAAAAGATAATGCTGTTGATTTAATTTTATCTGCAGCATTAGATTTGAACATTGAAGATTTGATTGATTTCAAATACACACAATATCCTATTGAAGAAACAAATTCTGAGAAAGTCACTTACTATTGTGAATTTTATATTGGTACAACTAAACTTGCCATCAGTGGTGGAGAAAACAGATACATTGCTAAAAAAAAGGCTTCTGAAAATGCTTTGAATACATTATTAAACCTTCCCCTCATTGAGAAGTTTTCTGAGGAAGTTCAGAAATTGCTGAATATCAACAACGGAGACAATATATATGATTTATTGTTAAGAGCAGCAATTTCTTTAGGTATAGAAAATTCTTTTCATTTAAAATTCGCAACCCGTATTATGCACAGAAAAAAGTTTGATTACACCTATTCAGGGCAATTTTGTGAAGTTTTTATTGGTGCTACTAAAATTGCTCATGCCTTAGATAATACTAAAAGTGGAGCTAAAAGAAAAGCATCCTACAAGGCTCTCTATGTAATGACACACATGAAAGATTTACCTGCTGGAACGTTAGAACGTGGGAAAACTTTGTTGCGAAAAAAGTTGGTCTCTAAAAGTAGTACTAATGGTAAGTGGGACAGGGAATTATTAGAAACAACGGCTTTTGAAATGAAACGGGAAACAATGAAAAGGCAGGATGTTCTATCTACTCTTTATACAACTTTTGCCCGAGTAGGAAGACTAGAGGATTTAGTTTACAATTCTTATAAAGATGTAAGCAGTCCCAATGGTGGGGAGGCTTTTGTTATTTGTGATGCTTTGGTCAATAATGTCCCAATGGCAAGTGGTAGAGCGCTAACCAAAAAAAAAGCCAGACTCATTGCTGCTAAGAATCTAAAGAAGTTCTTCTTAGACCTGTTTGAGAGGAAGAGAAAGTCCTCAGATGCTTCTAAGGATGTTTATGCAGATGTTTTGCGTCTGATTGATGACCATTCCCAAAGAACACCGCTAAATATGGAACGTATGTCTATAAATGAGACAACAAGGCAAGCAGAAATTGTAAAGTCTAATATTGTTCCTACAGCAACCTTTTCTCCCCTAGTAATTAGCAAAGTAAAAGCTATTGAAACGGCAATGGTTCCTGTCGCAGATAGCAACAAAGAAGTAGAAGATTCTACAAATTCTTTTTCAATTAATGAAAGACTATACAATAATTCGATTAAACAAAACCTCTTATTATTTGATCGATCTGAAATACTTGATGAAGAACAGCACTCTGCTTGTAGTGATCTTTCTTATGCAGTCTGTCACTGCCATAGAACTCTTGGTTTCAATTATCGTCCCCAAATTGATGAAACCTATATGTAAGTATTATTTGGTAAAATAATTCCCAGCATTTTATTCTTTTTTTATTTTTTTTTAACATTGAATATCCTGTTTACGCAACCTGACCTCTTGCAAGAATTGGGAAAAATTTTGCACAAAGGGCAATCGGTCTTAGAAAAGTGGGTTAAAGTTTATAAAATTCTTATAAACGTTCAAATCTCTCTCACCCCCATTTAAAATCAATTAGTTAATTATCAGTTATAATCACTATATCAGCTGCTCAACATGTTTACACCATTTATATATACTATTATTGCTAGATTTGTGTGATAACTAAAAAGAAAGGTTACACTTTCCATCAGCATTTATTGTTACAATCTTCTAGCTAGATCAGGGCGGGAAATTGCCAACTTGCCATCAGTGATAAAATATTCAGGGTTGGCATGTAAGTAATAGAGTTGGATCCTAGCATAACAGAGTCTTAAAGTTTGACACAACGATTGCAATTTACAGATGGTAGTGTTGAAAGACAACAGTACACAAACATGAAGCATTTTACACTGGTGTGCAAAACTTAAGCAACAAGTGCGTTTTTTGTCATAACTCTACAAGAAATCATCCGATTGACATGAAATTTGAATATGATGTACATTATTTTGTACTTAAACGATGGTAAAAGAATAATGGCGCAGAAATGACTATAAAGCTTTAAGTAGGGTAGAGAACAAAAAAAGACTTTATTTGACATATAGTGGCGTTACACATGATTGCCTGAAGAAGCATAAGTACAACTGGCAGATGTTCCCTAGTGTGGGATATGCCCTCCCCTTACTGTAATTGTTGCTTGGCATCGTCTCTCCATGCTAAGCAGCAGATTTTCCAGGAGTTCTTCGGGTAAACGTCTCCATTCCTCCTTTAACGCATCTTTCAGCTGATGGGTGTTACCAGGAGGATACTGTCGTGTCGCAAGACGTCTCCCTAATGCATCCCACACATGCTCTATGGGATTTAGATCTGGAGAGTAAGCTGGCCAATCCATTCGTGTGATATCTTCACTTTCCAGTAGCTCTTGAACATTAGCAGTACGGTGTGGCCGGGCATTGTCATCCATAAAAATGAAGTCTGGTCCAATGGCCCCTCGGAACAGACGCACATGGGGTAGGATTACCTCATTACAGTAGCGGTCTCCAGTTACAGAACCTCGGTCGAAGATCCAAAGCTCAGTCCGCCCGTTCAACATAATGCCACCCCAGACGACAGCTCCAGGACCACCGTAACGATCTCTTTCCGCGATGTTATTGGGATGAAATTGAGCTCCAACTTCTCTCCAGATCAACTGATGTTGAGAATCGCTTGTAGCACTAAAACGACTCTCATCTGTGAAGAGGACGCGACTCCATTGATGAGATGTCCAGGTTTCGTGTTCTTTGCACCACTCTAAACGGTGCCGCCGATGGCTAACTTTTAAAGGTATGCAGCCTTCAGGACGTCTAGCAAATAAGCCACCTTTGTGGAGGCGTCTGTCCACTGTAAATCTTGATACTTGTCGTCCTGTGGCTGTGCACAGTTGCTGAGATATGGCGCTCGCTGACTGAAAACGGTTTCTTTTCGCCTGGAGGACAATGTAACGGTCATCTCTTGGTGTTGTTTTCCTTGGACGGCCACCACCAACCTTCCGAACAGCTGTACCAGTAGTTTTAAAGGCATTCCAAGCACGAGAAACAACACTTTTGTTGATCCCGAACTCTTCGGCGACACTGGTCACACTACGCCCCACCTCAAGCTTCCCAATCATTCTTCCTCGAGTAAAGTCGTCTAAATGATTTCTTGAAGACATGTTTCACAAAACAAATCACTTGCAGCGAATGTCTTTAACTACGGTGCTCTTCATCCTTTTATCACAGCTTTGACCTGCACGCGCCGACCCACAAGGTTTACGCACACTTACATCACCTATGACGCTTTAGTTCTAAAATTTGCATACAAATAATCTTTCTACTGAATTGCGTGCATATTATACTGCTTATAATTTGTTGGGGAGCTGTGGCCGAAAAACCACTTGTTGCTTAAGTTTTGCACACCAGTGTAACCAGTGTAAGTATATGAACATTACTGATATTTTTCTTATTTGAATGGATTTCATGTGATGGCAATCATATTTTTTTTATTACAACAATGTGGATGATATTGAAATCTAATGGCAACCTTGTTTTAAGTCAACATTATTACTTTGCTATAAATTTGTTTCCATCTTACAAATTCAACATTTATTCATAGTTTTAGTCGCCAAAAGTTTACTTTACTACGTTTTTTTAACATTTTGCAAATTGTGTATATTTTTTGTCTCAATAGGGGTGAGCAAAAATTTAAGTTTGGTTAATACCTTATGAACCGGAATTTCATATCCTCAATTGGATAAAGAGTTACTCAGGTTATTGTGAGTCTTTTTAAAACCCTAGATGGACAACAACTCTCAAGTGTCTGAATTATCACTGATTGTGTAAACCACTGAATCTTGAACATACTACTTGATCTCTATCTAACCACATTACATGAAATATTAATATAAAAATATTGTTAAATTTTTTATAATATAACACTAAAATGTGTGTGGCCAAGAATGAGCCTTTAAAGTGCCACCTTTAGTGTCACAAATCTTGATTGTGCCACTTCATATTAACTGCACCTTCTTTTCGTGCAAAACTCGTAATAAAAAAATGAAATAAGCTTTGCATTGTCAAAAGCTGTAAAACAATGTAAAATCAAAGACTTTAAATTATTTATTTTTTTAAACTTTAAGAAAACAAATTTACATTTTTATTAAATAAGTTATCATTGAAAATTAATCAAAAATAAATTATAATAAAGTAATTGTATAAATCAATTTACAGCAAGCATCAAAATTTATTATAATGATATACAATTAGTCTTCAATGGATTTTTTTTCTTCAAAGAAATTGAAACAATAATTTTACAAGTGTAAACAATAATGGAAGAAAAAAGCTTGGCATCTGTTTATGACGATATGTGAACGAACTGTAATTTTAACGAATGGTATTAATAAGGGACGTTCACCGTAGAACAAACGAAACAACAATATATTTTTAGTTGATATCTAAATTTATTATTAGAGGATGCTCAGTATAGCGCATCCTCAACGAATGAAGTAATTATAAACACAAACATTAAGAAGCACTCCCCAAATTGGCGAGATATACAGGGCGACACAACGTAATTAGATATGTAACATTTAACAGCACCCTCACACCTTGCTTTGATTATCAATAATTCTTCCATATTTGGTGATAAAGTTGTGAAAAGTTGAAAGCTTATAAGATATTCATCAGTCATTAGTAAACAATGTTTATTTTTATCAAAGTTTATTATGGTGTAGCAATAGAGAAGTAATAAAAAATCATTAAAATATTTTTTTTTCTTTTCAAGTTAGGATGCGTTTATGTTAAAATTTTTCAATGTATAAATGCTAGGTAGCATTTATACATTGAAAAATTTTGGTTTTTCTGCAGAAAATTCAGTTAAAACTCGTTTTTCCTAGGAAATTCTAGTATTTACTGAGTTTCTGTTAAAACTAAATTTACTAGGAAATTCAAGTGGATTTATTGAATAGGTAAGTTTGAAAAACTTATTTCTATCGGGTATTTTTGAAAGTTGCTGAAACTTGTTTTTGATTGAAACTCCTAGTAATTAGTGAAAGAGCCTCTTAAAACTATTTTTCTCTAGGAAATTCTAGCATTCATTGCAGGCGATGTTCAAAATTTTCCTAGAAAGTTTTAGTATTTACTGATGAAGAAATAGAATATAAACTTGCACTGCAACTTGTTTTCAGTAGTGAATTCTAGTATTTACTGAAAAATTCAGTTAAATCTAGTTTTACTGGAAAATTCTTGCATTTATTAAAGAAGTTGAGCTAGTTTTCACTTAGAAATTCTAGTATTTACCGAAGAAATTTTGAATTAAAGCTAGTTTTCACTAGTGAATTCTGGTATTTAACCGAAGAAAGCCTTTAGACTTAGACTTAGAGGTTGGGCAGCTCTGACGAGCAGGGCACATTGACCAGAGGTCTATTGTACCCAAACCCTAAAATCATGATTAGCATGAAAGCCCTATGGCTGAAATAAAATTCAGCAAGCACCTTACAGGAACATCTTGCAGTTCCCAGGCATTGACAATATGCTGTCCTAAATGCTCAAATCTTTGAGCAGAATAGACCTCACAATCACAGAGTATGTGTCGTGATGTCTCTTCTTCTAGATGACATCCCCGACAAAGAGAATTTGATTCTATTCCCATAATGTTTAGGTGTCTTCTGAGGATACAGTGACCAGTAAGAAGACCAATGATCTTCCTTATACTGTTTCTGTTAAGCTTTAAGAGCTCCTTTTGACGTACACTAGGACAGTCTCGATTCAGCTCCTTAGCTTGTCTTTGACCGTCAGCAGCGCGCCACTGCTCATGGGCGATCTTGCCGTAGAGCTTGAATATGGTTGCCCTAAATGAGGAGGGAGAAATTCCCAGCGCAGGTTCAGGGCCCCAGAAAATTGCATTAGAGCCAGCCCGTGCTGCTTCGTCAGCTAGCTCATTTCCACCGATACCCATATGTCCTGGTACCCANAAGTTGCCGTAGTGTATGTTAATGTCATTTCTGGTTTTATATATATATATATATATATATATATTTGATTTGTAATTCATTATGTTAATTTCATTTAGATTAGAACTTTAAGATAAAATAAGTAGGACTCTGAAAACTGAAAAATGTGCATTTTACTTGAATGTAAAAGTGACCAAATAACATTGTTAAAACATTTTAAATCTTCAAAAATTGCAAATTTTGTAATTAAAAAATTTACTTTTCAAATGAAGCTTTAAAAATTAAATTAGAACAAAAAAGAGAGAAAAAAAAGTCTCCTAGATGAAAAATTTAAAAAAAAAATATGTGTGGAAAAATTATGATATTTAAGCAGATTAGAAACTCTCTCTTTACCTTTTTATCCATCTATTATGTGTGCATTTGTAAAATTCCTTCCATTGTTAGACAAACCAAGAATTTCAAGACATGAAAAGAGCTATAACTGAAATCATGTTTGATAATGTTTTTATCTAGGACTGAATAAACACTTAAAAACAGCAAATATAATTTGATACTCAGAATTCATTTTCTCCTTTTGCTATTAATATAAAAGAAAAATAATATTACTTTCTTTAAAGTTAAGTTTAAACTTGTCATCATAAATTTCCTGTTGCATTATTTTTATAATTATTTTTTTAAATGAAGAATTTCTCGTCGCAGGGTACGTGCCAGAACATTTATTTTTTATGTCTCCATTATGATTTTTCCACTATTGACATGCTCAGTTGATATGAATTGTAGTGTATTCAGTAGTGCAGCCAGGAAAATCTTTGGGAAAGTGTCTTAAAATTGAAAATTTTAGCTTCTGTATAAATATATAATTGCATTCATAATATTTTTGCCTGATTTTTATAAATTTAAATATTTATGTGGATTTTCTTACAGTAATATTTTTATTTTTCAGGGTTGATGTTTTACTTGATAATAAAATTATTGGGACTGGTATTGCTGCTACCAAAACAATGGCAAAGAATGAAGCTGTGAAGATAGTTTTGGAAGAACTACAAAAAGAAATCTACACTATTAAAGTGAATTGTTGTTCCCATATTCCTTCCAAGTTTTTTATTATACACATTATTTTATGATAACTAATAATTGACTAATAAAATTAAAAGTACAAAGAAAGCTTTAAAAAATATATAAATTTTTTAACAGAGGAGAAGAAAAATTTATTAATAAATAAAATATTTTTAAAAACTTAAACATGAGTCTACTTAGGTGAGAGTTTTTAGATAATGATTTTCAGACTGAAAAGAAAGTTTTAAGACTGTGAAGACACGGGGTTATCTTTGCATTTGTATTTTTCTTTATTTGACTTTAATTGTTTGATCACTTATATCGATATTGTACTTACATATGTAAAATTTAACTTCATTCCGACAATTGTTTCCAGGTGCGCTAATTTTTATGGCAATGAGTGTATTTATACATATGTATATAGCTCCCCACTTTTTTTGAAATTTTGTGTATTTGAGGGGCGGGAATCCAAACATATAAAAAAGAAATTTATGTTCTTGTGTCTGATTTTGTAACTTAATTAATAATAAGCACTACTTAATTAGCATATTTGAGGTCATCCCCTGAAACGATTTTGATTGATATTAAGATCCTGAAAATCTGATCATTAAAATGCAGGTTATTCAGGATATTTTTTTCATGCACTGTGCCAGCATCAATGAGGGAGATTTTAAGCAGATAATCTGATAATAAAATGTTTTTAGGTCAAAGAGAGAGGTGATGAAGTGTTAGAGATTGATCCTTCAGACTTGATTAATCTAAAGTTCAATAGAAAAAAACTTAAAACTGATGGTAGAAGACACTTTATTTGGTGAGTGAATCATGTATATTATTAAAAAATAGTTATTAAATTTTTTAGTTATGACCAATATTATATTTTCTTTGTAAATAAAATATTTAGTAATAAATTTCATAGAATAAATATTGAAAAATGGAGTAGTATACTCATTTACAAGCTACATATCATATATTTTCGAATTAACTCATTCCTTGTATACACTGAGAATACGCTTTTTCTTAAGAATTATCCAAAATTCAAAACCCATATCTAAGCCATTGTAAAGTAAAAAAAGTACACAATATCTTACACTTTTCCTTTTAGACTACCTGACCATCTTAGTTTATTTTCTTTTACTTTTGTTCAAAAGTAAAAACCCATTGAAAGTCCCACTGATTCTTTCCCTTCTACTTTTGTTTTTCTGTTCTCTTCTTCTCAAGCCTTTCAACTTACGTGCCCAGATTAATGCTTTCAGCAATTAAAATTGGAAAAATGCCAAAGTACATCAGACACTGATAGCTAGTACAGTAATTTTTTCAATAATTTTTTTTTTTAAAATTCCGATATTGTTTGAACATGATTCTTACGATACATGAAATTAAATTCCTGCAATTATTAGTCATTTTTTGACGAAACAATACAGCTGTTTTTTCAATCGACTTTTTGACAGTTATTATTACTGATATCCACATGTTTTTTTTCTTTTCAAATCTTAATAATTTCCATCATATTATTAAAAAACAAGAATTTTGAATTGCAAATTTAAGTAATTAATTTTTGACATGCTTAATTTTGCACTAAATCTATGCATTGTTTAGTTGTTTTGTTTTTGCAGTTATTGCCATTGATTTTTTTAAATCACGATATTATTGTGATTCAAATTGCACATCTAAGTATTCACTATTTTACACAATACTTCTATTTTAATAGATTTTTCGGCAGTTATCACTACTAATTAATGCATATTTTTAATATGATATTATTTATTACAGTATGAGAATTTTAAAACATGTATTTAATTAAATCCTTTTTGACATGACCAATTTGTGTTTTTTCAAGCTTAAGCGAAATGCAAAGAAAAAGAAAAAAAGTAAATGTGTGACTAATAAAAGGTGTATTTTTTTTTAATGTGTGGTTCTCTTAAACATAAAATAAGACTTTTTCTTTTGTAAGGAGAAAAATCATTTAGTAGTTTATCATCTATGCATGTTTGCTATTAAACATAAAGGGTTAAGATGTAAGAAATAAATAAGTAAAGTGAAATAACCTAGAATAGAAATCTCTTCCATTTTGCCTTCTTTTCTTGAATAATATTGCTATCTTACATCGAAGAAAATTTTTTTTCTCCTTCTAAAAAATAGTCGGAGGTTGGCAAATTTAAACTCTATGACATACAACTTTTGCAATATTAGCATTTTGACGGTGACTTCGAAACTTGTCGTAATAGTGGACTTTTTCCAAAATGCTTCACTTGTTACATCAAGTACTGTACTATTATTTCTTCTAAAATTATATTTAACTTTATAATATTTAACTACAAACACTCATAATTTTGATAAATATGCTATTTGTATTTTTTTTCTTTTGCTTTTATTTCAGTCCAGGGAATGAGAATTTTGCTAAAGTTTTTCAGCATTATGCAGATTTAAGTGAGTGGGTAAGCCTGACTAATACTAAATCCAAAATTGCAACTCTGCTGACTGGATACAGCAAGTCTGATGAATTAGTTGTTCTCAAATTTTCTGAAAAATTTTCATTACCTGAGAAGACAGCGATTCATCAGCAAGACCAATTCAAATTTATTTATAATTTCTATTATTTATTGTGTTTTCTCATGGAAAAAATTATATCTTTTTTTTTATTTCAAAATAGCAAATACTGTGTTGGATGTGAAAAGATTAGCGTAGACTTAAATTTGACTTCATAACAAAAATGTATTTAACTATATAGTTATACAAAGTGAAAATGCATAATTGTATTTATTTGTATTTTTTTTTTTTTTTTTAAGATTTGGGTACAAGTTCTGGAAAGAGCAACATATTTTGACAGGCATCGATTTTCTTAAAAAAATATAAGACAAAATGTTAAAGTAAATGTAGTGAAAAAAAATTTCAGCATGATTTGGTATAACATGTAGGTGCTCATCCGCCACATTATTTCCATGGGGAAAAAATTTATATCAGTCCCAACTTAAGTGCTCTCTTAACTTAAGAGGTTTTTTTTTATAACAAATAGGTTTGTAAGTACAACAAAATTTTAAAATGTAGAAATATACTGTTACATTTTCTAATTGGATATATGTTCTAGCCCTAGAGTATTGATGTTCAAAAAAGTTATTTATATTAAATAATTTTTTTAAAAAGGAATTAGTGAACTTATTTCTTTATTTATTTAAGCATTTCTGTTATCATAACTCATTTAAGGGTGTGCTTTTAGAAACATAGCCTAGTTGTTAATTTTATTTGAAGTGTAATAATTTAATGTATTCTTTATTTTATTTCATAAATACTGACCCTAACAACACAAAAAACAGTAAATTCGAAGTCTGTTTATATGGTGTATATTTAAGTTTGCAATATCTTTTATTTGTGTGTCTAAATAACTGTACTTCAGTTGTGGATAAGTATGCTTGTTTTTTTAAAAGAAACTTTTGTTTGTAGGATTCGTCGAAAACTTGGCCTTCTGTTTAATAGATATCAAAAGAAAGAGGATAAGAATATCTACATAAAGCGTAAAATTAAAGTAAAAGACATTTTGGACACTCTTATAAAATCTTGTGGTAAAACCTCAAAACATGAGCTTGTAGACATGTCAAATTGATTGAATGAAGTATTCTAATCATTGTTATTGCTTTAATAGGTTATCTTTTTTTTTACAATTTCAGTCATTTGTACAAAATCTACATCAAGTTAAAATAGCAACTAATCTGTTAAAACAAAACAAGTGTGATACAAATTTAGTACATCTATAAGGTGCCTCCAGTAAACATCAATCTGAAACTGGTGCAGCACCTAGTGTATGAGAAGGGCGTTTGATTTTACAATACTTCAAGGTTTGTATGTACAGTGTTCAAAATAAAAAACGAACTCCTCTGAATAACTTTTGATCTAATAATCGGATCTTCACATTCTCGGATTCAATTTTAATGGTTTGAGGGGGTGACCCAATTATGCTAATTAATTAAAGCACAGTTACAAAATCAGACTCGAAAAGCTTCTTTCTCTGAATAAACATATCTCTTTTTCGATAGATTCAAATTTCTGACCCTAAAACTATAGGAGGTAGCCGCAAGCTGGAAAATATGATTTCAACAGTTGAGTGGTCAAATGTTTTGACCTCTTAATGTTAATTTTACTTTTTGCACATTTCAACAAATCTCGAGGACTTTTTATGCGAGTTGAAAATTTTTGCATATAATTATAAAACTCCTTTACCCAAAAATAATTCCATGCAAAATATAACTTTTTGTAAATATTTTTTATTACTTTATTTAATAGTAGTCAAAATAATTTTGAATGGTAAAATACTAAATTTGAGCAACATCAGTCAAGTAGTTCTTGTGAAATCAAATTTTGTAAGAGTTGTATATTTAAAAAACGATTTCACAGGAATTATTAATAACAGTCGAAAAATTTTAAATTGTAAAGTTAACAAATTTTGACATCATTTTAAAGAATGTAATTTTAAATGTCAAAATACAAAATTTGAGCAACACCAGTCAAGTAGTTCCTGAGAAATCGAACTTTGTAAGAGTTGTATTTTTAAAATTTGATTTCTCAGGAATTATTCTACCAATTTTGTATTTTGTTATTTAATTCATGAAATTGATGTTAAAATTACATTTTTGTGATCAGAAATTCGAATTCATCAGAAAAGGGTATGTTTATTCAGAGAAAATATGCTTGTGTCTAATTTTGTAGCTTAAAATATTGTCTGCAATAATTAATTAGCATATTCCAAGTCAACCCCTCAAACCATTAAGATTGGGTTGAAAAACGTGAAGATCGAATCATTAGATCAATAGTTATATAGGTTGATCCGTTTATTTATTTAATTTTTTTTGCATACTATACAGTAGAATTTTGATAATATAATTGAATTGAGATCACCACATATTTGAAATACCAAAAATTTAGGTTAAAAGTAAAGTGCATTGAATGCAAAAAAGATTTGGTCAAGGGTTGCTTTTACAGGGTCTCCTGAACCAGTAAGCCGGTTTTTAAAAATTTAAGGAAAAAAAAAGTATTTAATGTCAAAAAATAACAATTTTTAAAGCAAACTTATAGGAGAGGGTATAAATACAGCACTGCCAATGCGGAATCCCTAGATTCTCAGAATATTTAAAGCGTTATCCAAATTACAATTTAAGTTTAACTTAATTTGTTTAATCTTAGCCTGCACTCAATTACTCTGCACAAATTAATAAGTTTTATACCTATGGTTAAGTTATTCATATGTTGTGGTGGAAAAAATTCTAAAATAAATTTATTAAAATGATAAAAATTTTAAATCATAAAATTAAATACCATTCTAAATATTCAAATAAAAAGATTGCGATAAATTGGAACAAGTTGACAGGCAATGTAAATGTTTTCTCACAGAATGAATGGTTTTAGTTTAAAAACCTTTAACAAATAGCACTGAAAACAATAAACCTATAATTCAAAGAAAAACAACTGAAAATTACATCGCATTATTTCAAACTCTTTCAATTAATGAAAATCACATTATATTTTTAAAATGCCTTCATTAGCTTCTAAAACATGTCAGGATCTTAGAACAANGTTTGCTTATTGAAAATAAAAAACAAAAATAATCAACAGATGCTGTATTAATCTGCAGTGGCCGCTGCCATGCTGGAATGCTTCTGCTTCCAGTATTTTATGCAATGTATAGAATATTCTACACATTAAATTTTAAAAAAAAACTTAGGCAACAAAAAGAAAACATTAAAAGTTATATTAGTAACTACAAACTTATATATGTTGCAATGTTTTCTATTTATTATAAACATTAAATAAACTTGAACCATCTTTTTAATCATGTGCATTTTTCTATACTACAGCCTGTTATTGATCAGTTTCCTCCATTTGGATCCATAAGTTGCAATAGTCCTATGTGTTTCTGCAGTGAAACTTCTATAATGGACCATTTCTATTGATTCACAATCTCTTCCAACGACCACATTTTTAATGAACCAATTTTTTATCCAATCAGTGTACTGCTAAAAAGTACCCCAGAAAAGACCAAATAAATCTTAGCGAGCGAGCGATTATTGACCACCCTGTTAAAATATTTTGTCTTTCCCCTTAACTAAAGTTAACAAATACACATTCCAGACCAGAGGATTTTATTTTATAGCTGTACTTATAATGAGTACAAATAGAGGATAATCTGTTAGGTAGAAAAATTTAAACAATCAAGAATTTCTTCTTACTTTAAAATTTAAAAAGAAAATTTTATGTAAAACAACTTGTGTACTGTATAGTAATCAGGGGTCTGTTTAGAAGAAATTTCCTTCACAAAATATCTTTTTATATAAACGGACCCTTCACAAAATATTTTAACTTAACAACAGACCCTTCACAAAATAATTTATCTTTTAATCGGACCCTTCACAAATTTGTTAGGTCCTCTTAATTTATGATATATGTCACTTAAAATGTCCAGAAATCATTGTTCTCAACAGTTTATCAAGTAAAAAAAGGAACCGGAACACTGATCATATATTTTAACATTGATATATGTCCTGTTGAATATGTCCATAAATCACTGTTCCCAACAATTTTTCAAGTCAAAAAAGGTACCAAAGCACTGGAAAATAGGACCAAATGTTTCCCTAATGTTATTTCATTTTATATTAGATAAAATATATTTTTTAGATAAAAATATTTTTTTTAAAACATCTTCAGTAATTTTTCTTCACATAAGAATATTCAACTGTTAGTGATAATCCCTAATAACTCACCTCTAATATTCACTCTAATAAGAATATAACTATTCAAACTCAACTTAAATAATTCTTGCTAAGAGCTAATCTAAAGAGTTAATATTCTCTCAAAAATTGCAATTTTATTTAATATTTTTAATTAAATTGTTTCATTAACTTTGAATGCTTCTAAACATTTGAAAAAATTTAACTTGTGAACAATTCATAGTTGTTTTAGCAATCATTAATTATAGCAACAGACATCACAACAATTTTCGATAGTTCCAATTGCCAAATACAATACCTTATTAATAACTTAATGTATCATAAAGATAACACAAACATTATACATAACAATAGTTATTGAATACAATACTATTGTGGTTATATGGGTAACAAAAATGTTGACCAATGTAAGAATAATATTAATTATTTAAATTATAATTTTGCGATATATTGTGAAATATCAATATTTTTTACAATGCATTGCATTATTTAAATGCAGCATTTATCAGTTATAGGGTCCAATGTTTGTATTGACGAGAAGTCAGAAAAAGCAATCGCCAACGTATGGTTTCTATAACCAATGTCTTAATACGCTGGATGAGACAACAGTAAATCATTTTTCAGCTCAACATCTCTTTCACATAAGTAACAAAATGAAGTTAATACTGTTCTCTATATAGTAGAGCATTGATTGTTTGAGGACTTGGTTTGAAAGGGCAGTGCTGATAACAAAATCACGGATAATCTGAAAAAGCTAAAAAAGTAAGATGAAATCCTGAAAAAAAATTCAATATATTCTTCTTCAGCACGACAGCCCCTTACAGGCCTTGGCTGCCTCAACCACACGTAGCCTCCAACGCTTCCTGTCCATGGTGACTTTTTTCCATGGACAGGAGAAATATATTCATGCATGTGTATACATTTTAAACATACAACAGAAATCTTTGTTCTACATCTAAATTGCTGAAACAAATGGTAAAGAAAAATAAAGTAAATGCATAAATAAAAGTGTTAAGTTAATTTTTCTTAAAAAAAAGCATGACTTTGCAGAAGTCTCGTATAATCTGCAACGCAAATAACCGACGCATAAATTATCAGGGCTCTGCTGTACTTATGAATAGCTCTTTTCAAAGGTGGNTTTTTTTGAAACAGTAATGTATTAAATAGTTTTAACTTAAAAATGTGTAAAAATGAACTAGTAATTTTCAGCAGGTTTACACAAAATGAAAAACTTTCAGCACACATTGATTAATTCTTGTAAATTAGTCTCAGCCCTTTCATCTCCACATCTTTTTGGCGAAATTTGTTTAAAAATTAAAATTTTTTTTAAAATTGCAAAATTTTTATAGAATTTGATATTGATTCATACCTCAGGAATGCATTTGGTAAAAAACCAAAAAAAAAAAATAAAGAAAATAAAGAAGCTGAAAATAGAAATCCAAAAATGTTAAGTGCAAGAACACTTTTTAAATAATTGACAAAATACTTGAAATTTGAGCAGGAAAAAAAAAGTATGTAAGACGTATTTATTCACAGAATGGTATCAACATTTTAATAAAAATATCGAAGCAAGATTTTATTTATTTTAATTGTGCGAGTCTCAATATGTGATTTTTAAATTACATGAATATGAATTTCGGAATCTAACTCAAAAATCGTGTGAATACAAATCATGATGCTTGATTTTAAAATCATGTTAATATGAATCTCGATGCTTGATTTTAAAATCATGTTAATATGAATCTCAATGTTTGATTTTAAAATCGCATGAATATGAATCTCAGAATTTGACTTTAAAATCACGTCGATACGAATGCCGGGACATAGTTTTTAAGTCACTTGAACACGAATCATAATTGTGGCTTTTAAATCACAGGAATACAAAATTCGATGTTTGATCGTTCATGTATATTAATACAAAAATCCAGAAATATAGTCTCTAAAGTGAAAAAATAACTCATAATCTCGAAAAATACACTAAAAAATGTATGAATAAAAAGATACCTTAAATGATCAATAAAGTTCAACAATGCAAATGTCATCAAAATCCAGGCCTTACTCATAATAAAAGTCACCATGTCAAATTATTTAATTATAATTCTCATAAAAGCAAAGTATAAATATTTTATTAAAAAATACACCAAAATTTGTTTCTTACATAAAAATTAATTATTTTTGTAAAAAAAGCTATTGTATTCAGAGATGGCAAGTTTCTTCCACTTTAAAAAAAAAAACTGCCAAGGAAGAAATAGATTTCTTCCAATCTAAGAGGTAGAAACCCTGTTTCATAAAGAAATATCCAGTATTAAGTTAAAATTTTAAGCATTTATAATTTCAACCCATTTTTAATATTATTTTCAAATCAATATTAATTAAGCAAAAATAAAAAATCAAATATTGGAAAGAAAAAACCTGTAAATTAAAAACACCTAAGGAATGTTATAGCTAAGTTTTTCTTTTTCCTTCACGTTTTAATAGACTTACAGTATTTTTCTTACGATTTACTAACATTATAAATTAATTTTGGGAGAAAAACTAATTTTTATTTAACTGTTAAATAAATCAGTTTTTTATAAACAAAAAAAAAAACAGTTGTAATGGTCATTTTTAGTATCTTTTTGATTCCTGGAAGAGATAGGTTTCTTCTGGGCGAGATTAATATTGATTGTAACAAATACCTATTGAGTTCAACCATCTCAGCATTAGTCCACATCCTAGCATTTTACGAACTTCAAGATACACTATTTCCCACATTACAAAGCCATTTTTTCTTTTCTATTTAAAGAAAAGTAATATAAAAATAGTATTGCTCAAGTATTTCAACCTAGGAACTCAACATTTGTAGGTAAAACTTTTCAATTTTAAAATCAATCACACAAGCGTAGCAAATTGTAAAGCATTTTTAACATATGTATAAAGTGGATGTTGTACTCCGAATGCAACTTTATAAATAGTCTCTGCCTCAGACAGCTTAGAAACAGCAGCTGTACGATAGCCACAGGTATGTAAACATTTTCCATAGTTGAATAAAAAATCTCCCAATGAAGGATTATTTACACCTAAATACAGTTTAATAGGCTCTTCTAAACAAGATGCCACTGTAAGTGCATCTTCCAAAGCACCTAGTTTCAGGCAAGCATCAAGTGCAAATTGCAGAGTCCTAACTCGGTAAATATTTGTATCTGCTAAGACTTTAGACTGATCTTTAAGTAAAATTTGGCACATGTCATAAACTAGTTTTGGATTGACATCCATCAATGCTGGAAACAATTTCTCCTTTTCTTTAAATGCTTCTTCACACTTCAATGCCTCCTCTTTGGTTTCAAAAGAGTCTTTTAAAAGCCTGGTCATCAAGTAATCTCTTTGAGGGTCGGTGCAACATGAGCATTTGCAGTGAAAGTAATACTTTTCCCATAGCATCTTTTGTCTTTCTTCCGTTAACAGTATTTCATTGAGATATGAAATGTAAACCTGTTTGAGATCTCGATGAGGAACATTTTTTCTCATCCGCACACTTAAAATAGTTCCGTCGAAGATTTGAACAGCATTAGGATCACAAGAATGATCGAAAATGGAAGCACCTAAGTAAAGACCCCATCCTATTGACTGCATTTCATGACAAATACTAAAAGAATTGATCACTGTTTTTCCATATATTTCAGTTAAATATTCGAGAGAAGACATATTACTAGAGCCAATGTACCTTTGAAGAGTGATAAACAAATCTTTTACAGTTTGACTGTCCACTGGATCTTGTTTAATATCATCGGCATGGGACATAAGAGATGCCATCGATACTTTTCGGCCATCTACCTCCACAAATGGTTCATCAGAGCCATGTTTCTTAATTTTTAATAAAATAAGTGCGATTAGACGGGCTAAAAAATATGGTTTCTCACCTTCAAAAATTTTAATAAATTTACATTCTAATTTGTGCAAGTTCCAAGCTTTGACCTGACAATTTTTATCACAATAATAAGAAAATGAACACTGCGCGCATTTTTTAAGACCCTTATTCTGTTTGATGCAAAAATCACAGAATTTACCCTTGAATTCATTGTTTAAAACATGAGCATATGGCTCACAAGACATGATCAATTCTCCCTCTACAAATCCAGACATATTAGAAAAAATTTAGTATACAAAGAATTAAATTATTCCCACATCTAGTTCAACAAATTCAAATTTGGACTAAGAAAAAAAAAAAGCGTTTGACAGATTGATTAATTGATGCAGAGAACTCGTCGCTTCTTTCTGTGCGACTTCACCGCAGTTGAATTAGAAGCATGTATGCAAATGTGTAATGTCCTTCTGGTCAATACCATACTTTTTATATGTAGCAAGTTCAACTCTCAAAATTATTTTTTTTCGAAATAAGGAATTTTTTGGAGCAAAAAATGGCAGCTGAAATAGTCTAACAATCAATTCTCTTCGAATTGATTTCTAGTGTTTATATTCTGAACAGCTGATTTCTTCTCTTAATTCACTTTGTTGATTTAAACAATCCGTTACAAATCATATTTTTCTGTCTAATTATTATTATTTATCTGCCAGCAAGTAATTAAATAAAGAAACACCTCTATGGCTACTATTGAAAAAGTTAAAATATTAGTTGTTGGAGATTCTGGTGAGACATTTACTGTCAGTATTTTGATGTAAATCGGAAATTTATATTTCAGCATTTCTGATTTTTGTTATTAAAAAATTTATTTATTTTTGATCCTAAATATTTCTAATTCGACTACTCACTGAAATTTAATATTTTCCAGTTGAAATATTTTCAGAAAACTAACTTGGAAATGATATTAACACAGGCTACCTACTTTTACATTTTAACAAACTTTCATAAATTGCACAGAATATAAAGTTAGTCTCAAATTATCAATTTGGTTGTAAATTCCCCCCCCCAATGTAATAATGACTTGAAATTTAAACTGAAAAATACATGGGAACTGGAAAAATGGTATCTAGACATTGGTTAGATGAGTAAATGTAGTTCTTTTATACGAGTATAATACTTTTTAAGCACAAAAACCTTTGTAACTTCTGAAACATTTGTTCTATAGCCACATGCTTGACCTTATTCAATTCAGCATTGTGGACAATGCCTCATATTTTAAAATAACAATATGTAAGTTTCTCTGCCCAATTTGGTTCCACATTTATCCTGCCAAAATGCAATGCACAAGATCTGGCAACTTTTTGGCACTGACAAATGTGCTACTTAAAAGTGTGCTACAGGTTAAAACTAATTTTTTGGGGGTGTCATTTTAAACCCAATTTTTAAAGTAGTTAATAAATTGGCATTCATATAGTTTGCCATTGATTAACATGGGAGGGGCAGGTAGTAAAATCTTAACACATGTCTTTTTCATTGAGTAATAAAGATAACATTTAAAAAATGTGTTTTTGTGACACACAAATTCTCAATCAGCTAAGTGACATCGTTAACTAGTTTTCCTTTTTGTATCATTATAATTTTCCTGAATCAATTTTCAAGAGTGCAAAATTTAGTAATTTCGTTTTTTTTTTTTAATTAACAGATTAGTGCTTGTGAAAAGAAACCTTTTTTTTAATACTTACTACTTCCCTATTTTTATTAAAAAATGAACAGTATAAAATTTTGTATATTTTGAGAATTTTTCTAAAATGAATACAGTTTGGGCAAATTAAATTAATTAACTAATCTTGTAAAAAGGAAATTTATTACTTAGTTTTTTACTTGTTGCTTTAACATTATTTAAATATGTATTTTACTACTTTTTTTGTAAATTTATGTTTTTATATTTTGTATACCATTTGAAAATCCTGTAAAATTATACTAATTTTAAATGAAATATTAATAATTTTAAGTAATTAATAACATAAAGAAATTATTTTACCTTTCAGGAGTTGGTAAATCATCTTTGGTACATTTAATAGCTCATTCTGAATCAATAACTAATCCTTCATGGACAATTGGTTGCTCAGTGGAAGTGAAAGTATGTCTAAATGACAATTTTTAATCCTCATTTGAATTATGTTTCTAAACTAACACATATACTTTCTATTAACATATATTGTATTAACCCTTTTACTTATTACATTGTATTAACATTGTTATTTCGTTAATTTACTTATTTTTCTTAAAAATTAACACTTTTTTTTATTGTTATCTACCATTTTATTGTTTAAAAAAATTGCAACTTCAAATAAATGACATTTAGGAAAATTTTTTATTGTTATTGTTTATTTAGCTGTCAGCAAAATTTTTACGCTTGTGAAATTTTTGCACTTTAACAAACAATTATATAAATTTTTTAAAAAATGTTATTTTATTAGTAATTTTCTAGGATAAACAAACTTACTAATTGTTTCTTGGTAATGTAAAAGATGATACTAGACTCATCACAGAGATTGCAAGGGATGAACATTGTAACCTGTGCTATTTTGGGTACACTAATTATTATTTGTGTTTGTGTGTTTTTTTTTCCATTGAAGATTATTTTGTTTGTTTTGCTGACTATAAAGTAAGGTAATTTGCCTTTCAATTATGTATAAAAATTTAAAAAAATATGTTAGTATTAGATATTTCCTAGGATAACAAACTTAGCAAATGTTACTTGGTCGATAATACATGTAATTAGTGTAAATGAGTATAACTCGATCACAAAATTTGTAAAGTATGAACATTGTAACCTGTGTTTATTTGGATCTACTAATTATTATTTGTATGTTTTTTAAATCAAGATTATTTTGTTTGTTTTGCTATACAATAAATAAATGATAATACTTTGAAAGGTTAGAATGATAAGTACAGCTTGTTATGAGAAATCTGGTATTTCGATAATTATCCAAGTTGTTGTTAAAATGTTCGTAGAAAATGTTGATAATGAGTTAAAAATTATTTGCCTTCAATTATTGCATTTTTTTGTGAAAAAAAATTTGTTTTTTAATATTTTTTTTCTAAACTGTTAAAAGGTCAAAAAGTTGACAAATATTTCACTTTATTACCTTCTTACAATTCTTATTTTCATCTATATTTAATGTTTAGTCATAAGTAAATAGAGCATTTTTTTATTAACATAAAAGAGTTGAGAATAAATATTGCATTTTTTCATGTTGACCCTTTAGTTTTACAAAGTAAATATGTGTAGGGGACCACCAGCTAAATTGTATTTCGAAAGAAAAATTCTTATGCTATTTTTAGCAAACCTGGGGCACACTTCAAAAGAATGTAGTTTTTGTAGACCACATATCCCTTATTGTCAGCCTATTATTGAAATAAACGTCAGAAATGTTATTACACTTCTTTTTTCTTTTTTTTTTACTGTTATTTTAACATTAAATATATGAGCTTTGAGCATCAACTTTATCTTCTAAGTTTGGATTGCATAATTTTTACTGTATTTGTTAAAACACTTTTCAATTGGAGAGAATGAATTAGTTTCATTTTTCAGCTTCATGAATACAAAGAAGGAACTCCCTTCCAAAAGACATATTTTGTAGAAATGTGGGATATAGGAGGCTCCAGTAGTCATAGAAATAGTAGAGCTGTTTTCTACAATTCCTTCAATGGTATAAATAATTCTATTCATTGCATTTCTAATGTATTATCAAACATTCTTTGCTGTAACAAATCAGGCTTTACTGAAAAAAGCAGTTTTTATTTTTTCAATCTTTTATTTATTTATTTATTTATTATATAAAAGCACATTTATTTGACATCAACCACACATCAACTAAGCAAAAATAAATTGAAATGCCCGTTACAGGTTAGTATAAGCTTATAATAATCCGTTAAACAATCCGTTACAAATCATATTTTTCTGTCTAATTATTATTATTTATCTGCCAGCAAGTAATTAAATAAAGAAACACCTCTATGGCTACTATTGAAAAAGTTAAAATATTAGTTGTTGGAGATTCTGGTGAGACATTTACTGTCAGTATTTTGATGTAAATCGGAAATTTATTGTTCAGCATTTGTGATTTTTGTTATTAAAAAATTTATTTATTTTTGATTCTACATATTTCTAATTCGACTACTCACTGAAATTTAATATTTTCCAGTTGAAATATTTTCAGAAAACTAACTTGCAAAAATAAATTGAAAAACCCGTAATGGGTTACTATAAACCTTAAATATAAACAAAAACTGTTCTCAGCAAAAATATAACTAAACAAGAAATCAACTTATTCCAAAAGTTGTCTTGCTCTTTTATTTTTTTCTTGATCTCATTGTTGATTTCGTTTTTCATTTCGTTGTTTTGATCATTGTTTTTTGTTTTTTTAATTCACACTTATGTTAGCTAGATATTTTTAAGACTCTATAACACTATGAATTTTTTTTTTTAACATCATATGGTTTACATTTTACTTTTAGCTTTGACAAGGGAGGAAATAATTGGAAGACCAAAGAATTTTGCTTCCATGGGGACCATTTGTGAAGATTTCTTTCCCTAAAAGCATAATAATCCAATTCATAATCAATATTTTAACCCTTTCTTATTTAGGGCCGGCCCAACTTTCTTCTGACCTCCCTAGGCAAGAAAAATCAGTGTATCATGAGGGCACAATGTCATAAATATTTAATTACTGTTTAAAAGTATTAGGCTAATTTGGACAAAACAATGCTATACTTTAAAAAATAGGAAACTAACAGAGCAATTGATAATAGTGCTGGTTATTTTAAATGTAAATATACATAACATAAAATAAAATTTAAAATAATTTATCAAATATGAAAAACTTATTTAAATAATTATCTATTTCTGAGTATCTTATTTTCAATAGATAACTTGTGTGCAGATAAATGCAAAGACTGCATATTTTAACTCAAAAATAAAGCACACAAGTAGACTAGCATTTCACTGAAAGAGTGGGAAAAAAATTCAAATAAGAAAAATATGATTGATGAATTTATTGTACCCTCTGAAAATATTCTGATTTACGAAAAGAATATTAAAAAATAATAATAATAAATGCTTCTAAGCATGTCATAAACATGAATTTTCCCTTTTTTTTCTTTCCTCTATCGCTGCTAGTGGTTCCTAGCTTCTCCAATTGAAATGTCTGAAGTGTGCCTGTTCTCGGACCACTTATTTTAAGAGCATTACAAATCATTAGAAATTTTTAATATTAAACACAACCCATTTTAGCTCTTTATACATAGAAAAACTGAAGTATCTCATCACTTGGTTTATGATCAAAGATATCTGTCTGGCTAAAATTTGTATCCAAAATTTCCTGTAGCAGAAAGGGTTTAAATCTATTACATCTTACAAAGTTAAAAGAATAGTCTAAAAATGCTTTGATAACATTCAGTTTAAAAGAAGGTAAATAACCACTAACTGTCTAAAATTTTAACTGTGGGAAAAATTCTTAGCTTTGATATTTCTATGTAACAAAGCTGTCACCATTGTTGCTCTATGGTAATTATTATTTAGATATATCAATGTGTTTAATGAAGGTTGTTGTTAAATGCCCAAAATATAATCTTTTTTTGATAGAAAAAATTTCAGTTTTTTCCATATATATATACTAAATTTTCCCTTGAGTATTAGTGTAGTCATAAGAATTCAACAATTAATCTGTAATTCCATAGAAGTGAACTAAATGTTATGTCTATCGCTGAAAGTTTTTTTTTTTTGAACAATTGTTTTATTTAAATAAACAATTTGCAATGAAGTTTATTTCTAAAAAGAATATATAGCTGATTTACTTCAACAGCAACAGTAAACTTTAAAGCAAACACTTTACTAAAAATTTAATTTTGTTTCTTTTAAAGTTGAAATGCATTTTTTATAATGGTTAAAATAGACATTTATGGAGAAAAAAAAAGAGTAAATTATTGATGACTAAGTTTTTCACCTGAGAAAAGGTAAATGTCATATTTTTTTTCTATTATTATAATCTGAAACTTTGAGGTGGAGCAAAATACATTATTAAATATTAGAAGTGCCTGAAACGTTTCTCAATTTTTCTAAAATGTAAATATGTAAATAATATCTTCAATTTCTGCAATGGTTGTACATTGCTTTGTGGTATATTTTTAAAAATGTTATTTATTACTATGCTTTATTTTATAAGATTAAAAATTCTTACCCACTTTTTGGTTTGTTAATGTTTTTCAACAACTGGATTTATAAAATGTAGGTATAGTACTAGTTCATGATCTGACTAATAGAAAATCTAAACAGAACTTACGAAAATGGTTAGCTGAAGTTTTATCCAAGGATGGTTCTGGAGCAAAGAAAAACAATGGCTGGTAAGTTGATATTTTCATCCTCTTTGTAAATTGGTGTTTCAACCTTTTGTTTTGAAACTTGTGTTATTCATCTGTACATATCTTGTTTGGTAGTAAAGTTTGCTTTATTGGAATTTGCTAAAGACAAAAAGGTTTTTTTTTCTATGTAAATGAACAGCATGTCCACATATTTGATTAGAGGCAGCGAAATGTTATCCTTTAAATTTTAAACATTTTGCCTCAAATAGAAGAAGAGAAATCAAAGTCAACTAAATACCAAACATGCCATTCTCAAATGCCGTTTTTCTGTTTAGGCTCTTTCAATAGGTAACATTAAAAAACAATGCCTTTTCTTGCATATGCAAATTACTGAGCAAGCAATTTTTTTAAATATTTTTATTTTTTTAATTTTATTTATTTCTTTATTTTTTTCGTACGCATGATTCACTAACCACAAAAATAAAACTTCAACTTTTTGAAAAACATTTCATTAGTTATATTTAATTTTAATGACGTGGTCCTATTCTTAATATGTGATTTTTAAATGAATTAAATGCTAACTGTATAATTGGAATATGAAGTATGAAGTATGATTCCTTAATCACATCTATAGAAATTGCAATAGATTTTGCTAAATGACTACCCAATGTTTTGTGTATTGTTGTGTCATTTGAAAATTGCATTATTATATTGTAGGATGTCCATATTTATCAAAATTGGCAATTTGTAATTTAAGTTGATAAAAATTATACATTTTAATCCCAATTTTATAGTTTCATTGAACTAGCGTTAAAACACATGAAGCGGGACGATGACGGAGATATGGGTGAAAAAATCTAAGTATACTTTTCAAAAATTTACATTATCGAGATGAACTATTAGAAAAAATGTGTAATCTTTAATGTGTGTTCTTTGTTTTTAGATAAATGTGTGTTCTTTGTTTTAAATGTGTGTTATTTGTTTTTAGATAAATGTGTGTTATTTGTTTTTAGATACAATTTCAGCAATATCCCTCTCAGCTCTTGCTATTGTTTGCAAATCTGCTCTTTGATTTACATTCACAAATAAATATTGTTTCATGAGTTTTAATGCTTTAAAAATCTCTTGATTAGTTGTGGGTATATTTTCTAATATTTCTTATTCATCTTCAGTGTTTTCACCGCTATCATCAGGAGTAGTAAGAGAAGTAATGGATGTTGCGTTGCAGTCTAAATATACACTTTATCGATTTTTTTAGCCATGCAATTTTATTCAAAAGTGCTAATATTCTCTTTGGATTCTGAGAAGACTGCTTTATTAAACCCATTTGTAATATGTTTCAGTCATCACTGTTCAAGGCTGCAGAAATAAATTCAGAGTTTCTGGAACATTTATTTTTGTTTAGAAGAATCTTCAGGTCACTGGAATCAAGAAAAAAGATTATTACCCAAACAGGTGTTTAGTGTAGTGTTTTTAAATGAATGAGTTATTCCAAGATTCAAACGTTGAAGTTTGCTGGAAAAACTTTACTCGCAAATTTTACAATTTAAGTTCCCATACTTCCTTTAAGCACAGTTCCTGTGATTTTGCCTATCCCACCACTCTCCTGATTTTGACGAAAAAGAGGAAATCTCCTCTCACAGACAAAAGGATTATAAAATAGAATAAAAAGAATGAAAGAATATTTTCGAGCAAGTTTCTCTCTCTTTTTTTTTAATAAAAAGGGAAAGAAAAAGTAAAAAAGAAAGAACTGGAAAAAAGTTTGCTTGAGCTTTGTAGAGAACAAATGATTTTTTATTTATTTTATAACCGTCGTTGAGCAGCCGACCCCAAAAAAAATTTTTTTTTGAGGGGGAGGGGTACAACTGCTATTGTTCAATTCCGTAACCTTTCAATTTTGAACCTAATCTAGAAGACAGGGGAACTCCTGGATCAAGCATTGAGAGAAATTTGCCATCCTGGAGGACTTTTTGATGGAACTAATCCGTATTTGCTTTACATGGTGAGGACAACCACAAAAACCTCTCAAGGTCCCAAAATGACCCCAAATTAAAGAAATTCTGAAAAATAATTACAAGAATAATTCAAAAACTTAAAAAAATGTTCTGAAATGACAGAAAAAAAATATCCCGAAGTGCAAAAAATGCATATTACATCAAAAACCTGGCCTTAATCAAGTAAAGTTATAGATGTAGTGCAGTTTTGGAGAACTCCTCCAGACTAAAAGTCTAGGGCTGTCTGCTACTATGGTAACAAGTGAAACCACATCTCTAATGGGGATAAAATGGAGGAACGAAGGGGTCCATTGGTTTTCTCACGCCAAACTATGCCGCAATTAAGACGAAACTATTCAACCCTATTCAAAGTGTATTTATCTCGTGACCATAGCACCCGCCACGACGGATGTCTGGAGGAGTTCTCCTGAAAGCCGCACTATAATTCATTGAGTATAATTGATTAAAAATAGTATTTTTAAAAATAGATTGTAAAAAGTAGTATTTTGGTTTCAGGTATGGTTTTGATTCTGAGCAATTTGTGGATAATCAAATTCCTATTCTTGTGATTGGAACAAAACAGAGTCTTGTTATGGAAGTCTATCCTCCTGGCAGAACAAAGCGCACATCATCCATAGCGGATGAATGTGGAGCAGATGAAATCTATGTTGTAAGAGAATGATAAATCTTTTTTTCCCCATTAAGCAGAAGGGTTCCTCTTGTTGAATTCTTGCTGATTTCAAGCTACTTTATCTTTGATATGATCGTTAAATATTGCTTATATCTTATTGTTTATGTTTTATTTATTTTAGGATTGCTGTCAAGCACGGTCATTTGCTCCAGGTTCCAGCAATGCAGTTAAATTGAGCAGATTTTTTGATAAAGTAATAATATTTTTGTGTTAAATCATTGTGATAGTTATTATTATATCTAAATGAGTTAGTTTGTGTTTGAAAAGCATATTTTTTATCACTGTAAATAGTTTGAGTTTAAATTAGTTCTTCTATTCTTATACAGTAAAATTAATGTAATTATTATACACTTGAAGAGCTCAAAATTATATAACCATTAAAAATATATATAAAAAAACATAGTTTGTATTTCCATGCTTAGTTAATAAATCAGATACATATTTTTATTGCTGCTTCCCTTTTTTCGTTTTTCTTTTCCTAATTATCTTTCTTTTTGTTCTTTCTCCTTTTTGTTTCAGCTTTCTTTTAGCTTGTGATTTTATGCAACAAAAATATATAAATAAAAACTAAACTTTATTTTTTTATTATAAATTTCATAGATTTACAATTTGTTAAATTATTGTTGTTTAACTCAATTTTCAAAGCAGTTTCCAAATTGAAACTTGAAACCAAATGTCTACTTTCCTTTTTATTTTTATTCTTTTTTGTTAAAAACAAGCAGTTTTTTTTAATTGGTTTGTTGAGAATAATAAGTTAGTGTAAAAGCAGCAATGCTTTAATAAGAATATGCTTTAATATGAATTATATAAGTAAGGAAGCAATTTTATATGGCAACAATGGAGGTATTTATGAGGAATGTATTATAAAGCCACTTAGCTTCTTAAAGCTGAGAAAGGACTAAGCTGCCAATCTCATGACCGTCTGAACAGGAGTGTAACTCCAAATATTTTATCTTGCGGTATAAGCATCACAATATTTCCTAATTACTGGTGTCTAGTTTGGAATTTTTACACTTTGGTATCTGTAAGTTTCTGCCTATACCTTTAAAAAAATGTTTCCATATACATATCGAGAAAGTAAGTACATTTTTGTTCTAAAACCACAATAGCAGCTGAATTAAGTTTACGTGTCAAATATTAAAAACAATTGATCCTCTGACTGTGAAGTGCATAATATGGCAGTACAATACTCTACGACATTGCAAAGACTGTGGCGTGTGAGTCAAAAGAAAAGGTGTGGAATGCTCAGTAAAGTATTGCTTCATTTTGCTGAAGTCATTCAAAACCTGATTCAGTAATTAGGTTTTCAGCATGTAGTGTATCTACCACTAGAAAAATAAAATTCCTACTCACTAGTATATAAGACATAATAATTCCATTCTATGTTGTGATACCTTTTCATAGATAAAGGTTGACATTGTAGATAAATCTTCTCCTCACGAGGAGTTCGACCAATCGCTGTACAGCTCTGATCTTGCATCTTCAGAGTACCCCTTGTTAAGTGGAAGTGTGATTTTGGAGATAGACACTTGGGCAATGATGGAGTAAAAAATGATGTTCAGCAGTCTCTGTCTTCACTGAAGACATTTTTCTTCGAAGAGGTTATAGCAACGTTGGTTTTCTGTTATGACAAATATCTTAACAATGATGTTAACTTTAGAAAAAGAATAGTAACAAAACTCTTCATCATGTAAAAAAAAATAAAAATCTATTTTGAAAAAGCATTTTTTAAGTAAGTTTTTCCTAAATGGTAGGCTTCCCATGTATAAAAATATATGTTAACCATTTTTAAAAAATCATTTCAGACGGCTGTTTCTTTTCAAGCAAAAACTGGAAATTATCCAAGTGTTAGAATGCAGCAAACTTAGTTTATGCCCTAGTGCAATGTGTATTTTATTAAGTTTTTTCATCAATATTTTGTCTTGTCTTATTTAAATACTTTAGGAATTCACAAAAGCATTTTTTTTCTTCTATTTATTCTTTTATGCACTAAATGGTTTTTAATTATCAGTTTTTTCTCCCCCAATTTCCTGTGTTACTCTTTTTGGTGATTGGCTCATGGAGTCCTTATTATTCATAATGAATATTTTTTTTTTCTTTATGTAGGTTATTGAGAAGAAATATCAAAGCCAAGGAACTGCTTATATTTCCAATGTTCCCGACCGAAGACGATTAGCATACAATAATAAACAATCACATGTAGACTAAATTTAAAATTTTACTGGGAAATGTATTTATTTATCTTTGTTATTTTTTATATAGATATGTATTTTTGGTAGTAGTGTTTGTCATTAAATATTTTATTATAATTATTCCATTTTGAATTTTATTTTAAAACATACTAAATTGTGTGACAATTTTTCTTTGAAACCCTTCTATGAAAGTTTTGAAATTAGTCTATTTCTATATCTGAGAACTAGATGCAATATAATGTAAAGCCACATTTTAAAAGTGTTTAAAAGAGCTTTTTTTTTAAATTTTTTAAAAAAATAATTAGATAATTCTATGTATCATACTGAGTAAAAATTCTGGATACTTGTAAAATTATCTATTTAATATCAAAACTAAGAAACAATTTGTTGAAAATGTGTCATTTTTAATAATATATAAGCAAATTGTATAAATTCTGCTTAATTTAAAACTCATTAAAATGCTATGATCGTATGGAGTTTATTTAAATTGTTATAAGTTTAAATATTCTAACATTGTTTTGATATTTTATAAAAAGTTTTCTATTGTTTGCTCAGAAATATATTATTTTTTTAAATACTAAATTCTGCTGAATTCATTTAAAGTATTTTATTTTAATTTTTAACTGACAAATAAATTTTTAATAAAAAAATCCTTCTGTTGAAATTTTTCCAAATTTTTACCTGGGTGCTATGCTGCATAACAAACCAGTTTGTAATATTTTGCTTTTGAAATATGGTACATCTAAAACAAAATTCTAGACAAGCATGGCCAGTTGTGTCATACTCTGACATATCTGCCAATTTACTCTTTCCCAAAGTGATAGTAAAATGTTAATTCAAAATCCATGGTAGGCAAGTATATTTTTATATTTGGATGGGACTTAATCATACCAACGTATGATTACCATGCATATTTTACCGATTGCAGAGGTTGGTAGCAATTGCAGATGAATCAAGCAGTCCTTAAGACTCCAAAATTGTGTTATCGGAAATTTCTAGAAAATGCAGAAATTTCCAGTACTCAATTACAGCATGAATAACAGGTTAGTATACCTCCGACTGTTCGCTAAAGACTTGCGTATCAGAACACTATTGCAGTCATAAACAGACTAATATTTTCTACTATGCTCTGCAAGGCACACTCCTACTTATATAGGCTTTGCGACGGAATCCCGGAACTTTCGACACGATTCTAGACAATTCTCATCTTACACCGTAAATAGTAGTACTATTGCTACGAAACTCGAATTTTCCTGAAGTATTATTTTGCCGCCAAAATTGTTGCCTGGTCGTCAAAATAATCGCCAAGTCTGCAAAATTATTGCCAAACTGAGTTTTCTATAAGAAATGCATTAAGGGTTATTTTCTCTCTTAATTATGTTAGAATTATGCAAGTTCCATGCAAATTTTCTAATTAAACTGTTTATTTAGGCTTCATCTGAGATATTTAACCTAATAACAAAAAATATTTATGAGATTATACACATATTTGTAACAATAGACAATGTTTAATTTACTCATTTGTAGCGTAAATTATTGGGAGTACAAATTAGTTCGGTCCGCTTTTAATAGGTGGCTCTGCTATTATGAATGTTATATAGTGACAGCTGGTTTCAGAGAGGTTAAACATCTGTCAATAATATTCAGTTTATATCGCTTTGAGTTTCATACAAAAAACCCTGTTTTATACGTAGTTGAGTAAGTCAAATTTTGTGGTAACGAAGCTCCATTTTCGGGAGGTTTTATGTTTCTGCTTTAATTAGAAGAAAAGTGCAGCTGAAGCGCATCGAATGCTTGTAGAAGTTTATGTTGTCAATGCTCCAACTGATAAATCATGTAGGGATTGGTTTCGACGTTTTAAGAATGGTGAATAGTGTTGTATGCTATGAGCTGCTACAACCTGGGGATTCCATTACGAGCGATCGGAATAGGCTACAATTGATTCATTTGAGCCGTACATTATGAGAAAAACTGCCGAAATACGAGCATAGACATGACAAAGTTATTCTGCATAATAACGGTCGGCCTGATCTCTCAAAAGTCGTAAAAAATTATTTGGAAACGCTCAGTTGGGATATTTTACCGCACCCGCTGTATTCGCTGGGCACTGCTCCTTCTGATTACTGGTTGTTCCGACGGATGCAGCATGATTTGGCAGGTCACCAGATCACTTCTTTCGCAGAAATCGAAAACTGGCTCCTAGCTTGGATCGCCTCAAAAGACGAGACATTTTTTCGAAAATTGCCTGAGAGGTGGGAAAAAGTAGTACCCATGGATGGACGATACTTAGATTAATCTGTTTATTCGTTTTGTTCGGAAATAAATGCATTTTTGACCACAAAAAAACGGACCGAACTAATTTGTACTCCCAATAAAATCATTTTTAATTAAATTTATTCTATCTAAGAATGAAATAAAAAAGTAAAAGTTTTATACTCACTCTAAATATAAAAATAAAATATTGAAAATGCCGAGGATTTGGCAGCCGTGCAGTGAGGATTAAATGAACCAACTCAATTTTTTTTCTTTTGAAGCATATATTCATTTTTATTTATTTACAACACATTCAAGCAACTGTAACAAAAATCTTTATACAAACAACAACACTCAGATGAGTTTTAAAATTAATATATTAAATGCAATAGAAATCATCCTTATCATCAATTGTTTTGTATATATGAAAGGAAATAAAAAATTTAAAAAAAACTTGCATAGAAAAGTTTTTTGTAAGTAAAATGGCCAATCACCATTTTTTCTTTAAAAAGAAAAAGAGTTTGATACATTAGTTTGAGATGTTAGAACATTGCATGTCTAAATATATTCGTTTTCATTGAAAGCTGTGAGTGAACTATTTTAACAAGAATCCAATTTCTGGAATATTTTGTACAATATTTATTCGTAATTTCTTTTCTCTACAAAACTATCCCTTTCTCTAGTATGACAAAATATTTAGTGGTGCACAGTTTAAATCTTTCAGAGAAATTTATGAAACTTGACTGAAGTTGAACAACTTCTTTCCTCTCATTGCAATTTTGCAAAAGTCATTTTCTGGAAAAAATTGGATGCCAAAAAAGGTTCCATCATTCCAATATTTTTATGATTGTTTTAGGATGTTACGAACTGCTAAGTCTATGTGCTGTTTCAATTTTTATTTGCCAGCAAATAATTAATGCATATCGCTGATAGCAGAAAATTCTGAATCACGACCCTGGGTTGTAGAAGCTGCAAATTGATTTCAGGCTTTGGAATAAAAGCCCTCGAAATGCTTCCTCATTAATATAAACAGCAAAAACTTTTTGTGTATAATTTTAAAACAGCTTATATTTTCAAATTTTGTACATGTATATATGTTAAATTAGGCTGAATTTTTTAAAATAATTATCTCTGTCAGTAAATTTTGCTGCCAGCTATATATGTGATGTTACATGCATATGGCTATACAACATATGGCTGTAAGATGAAAAAAAAATAGTATATAATACAACATATGGCTGTAAGATAAAAAAAAAATAATATATGATACAACATATGGCTGTATAATAAAAAAAATAATAATTTATGATACAACTTCTGGCTGTAAGATAAAAAATAATTATTATGAATTATTATTGTACGTATGGAATTAAGTGGTCTCTAAATCTGTTAAACTATAACTCACATGTATGAATTATGCACGACTGAATTCGCAATGAATTATGTATATCAGTTTGCTCAATTGTTCTATAATTCATTTTCTTGGATTCAAATTCTTATTGTGCGCTTTTATATCAAAAAATAAAAATAAAATATCGTGAAGTTAGTTGATTGATATTTCAAAAAGGAAAAATCATAAACTTCTAATCGATTAAGATGAGGAACTAGAATATAAAAAATGTGCTTATGATTCAAGACTATAATGAAAGGATTTATAAAAAAAAGTTTTAAGTTGATAAATGCTTTGTAAACTTTACTTGTTTGAGATATTTATATTTTTAAAATGATCCATTTTTTGTATGACTTTTAAACCCAAAGTTATTAATTTTAATAATGTCAAGAGTATAAAAGGGCTCTTGAAATTCTTTATAATTATGCCATTTTGATATTATTTACAAAGGAATAAATATAAGCATTTTTTTTAATATATTAAACTATAAATAATTATATAAATTTATAGTTGAGGTGATATTGTTACAAAAATAAAATCTTCATTTATTATGTTTATTTTTCCTAATTTTTTTTTTTTGGCCTAATTATTTTACTAGAAGTATAGTAATTTAGAATGCAAGTGCGTGTGTGTTATTAAATACATTGCCCTACAATAGACATAATACATCAATATGTTAACAACAGATCCTTTGTTTTCAGTAATAAATTACAGTAAAACTAAAATTGCTTAGTCTAAATTATCTGCTCATTTTGAAAAATTTTGGTCAAACTTTTAAAATTTGTGTAATTTTTGTTTATTGATATGTGTCCCAATTCTGATTAGAACTAATAAGAACTTTCCAGCTTTAATTTGGAAAATTATGGACAGATGATGCTACGTATATTAAACTTATAAGCCTAAGTAAAATATTTAATAATTGCACCACAACATGTCAGATTGCGATCTTTCAATTGTTTTTCTTTGGTTTAAACGTTTACTATCTGCAGCGTCATCTGTCGAAAAAATTTTGAACCAAAATTGGGTGGAAAAATGTATGATGAGTATACGGTTCTCTTAACCTTAGTTATTTTCCTGTTATACGTTTTTGAAAACCGCCAATTCAATACAGGACACCCTGAATCAGGGCATCCCTATAGCTGGAATGACCCTGTATCTGGGAAATATTTCTATTTTTTATATAATTACGCTAAAATTCGTCAAAATTGATGAGGGTCAGTTCATGAGTTTTCCTTCTGAAAGCTAAGTAATTGCGAATTATCTGTACCTGTAATTCATATATTATTTAAAAATATGTTTATATAATTTAGAATTTTATAATCAAAGTCAATATAACACCCATTTAAATAGTTTTTTCACAGTTACTAAAAAGCTGTATTGATTTTCTGTAGGAAAAATTATGTTTGATAAAAAAATAAAATAAAATCTGTCTATCTTTTTTTTTTTCGCTATACATCAATGCATTTATATAAGACTATATTTTAAAATGAAAAATAAAAATCTAATTATTGTTTGCTTCTTCTACTATCTCTATGATTTAATCTACTGTACTACTGTGAGATTTAGTAAATAATGAAGTATCTATATATGCGTTTATATTGATGACGTATGACTATAGCTTTCTTAATTCATGTAAAGAATTTAAGATCAATCAGAAATTAAAATAAACGCAAGATTTTTTTTCCCTTCCCCACATTGTTTGTTCAATAACCTTCAAGGCAATAAATATGCCTTCGATGTGATTACTTTTTTTTGTCATTACATGTTTATAAAGGTGTTCTGTATTTACCACTCTTAATATATATGTAAGTAAAAGAGTTATTACACAAGAGGGATCCCAAATTTGTAATTAACAGTGTTTTTCTAAGCTTTTGGAAAGAAAAAAATTGCTACAAAAGTTGTCTCAGACATGAGGCATAGTTATAATTCTATACTATAAATGTCATCTTGCCGTGAAGAATTATCTGAGCCTTAGAACGAACTTAAATATTTTAAAAGTTATTATTTTATTTTTAAAAAAATTGTTAATTTGACGAGATTTTTCCACTATTATCAAAATTATTGAATAATTCTCAGTTTTCGCAAATTCTTATGGGCCCAGATAATGCTGCATTTTTCAACGCTGTACAAATTTTTCTGTATTAGGAATTTAATACGACTTTATTCTTTTTCACAAAATTGTAGGGTTTTTTTTGTGACGTTTTACGCCATTTTCAGAATTAGAATAGAGTGCGCTAGCTTTAAACATGATCAGACAGTCATGAATAACTGAACAAGAAGTTAAGAAAATGGCATATTTCGCCAAAAAAAGAGGCTATTTTATGTGGCGACAGAACATTTGAAAAATAGCCTTAACCTCTCAACAGTTATTTCCTCAAAACTACATGTTTTTTTTTTTTTTTTTTAATTTATTCTTTCTTATCCCCAGCCTAAATGATAACTGATTGCATTTTTTTCCTTACATACAAATTAATTTGCGAATCTTAATAGACATATTTTTTCTTTATTTAATTCTTGCAAAGATTCTGTACATAGATATTAAGAGCAGTTGTTACAGACTTACTATATCGTTATCATTAAGAGGATTCTGACCTTTATACGACCTTTAAAAATGCAGCTGTCTTTGAAGTGGAATGAAGCCTTAAAATACTCACCATAAGTACGTGCTTATAATATTTTTAACGCTTACATTTTTTTTCCAATCATTATTTTAGTTGATTTCCAAACTAAAGTTCGTTCTATTTCCAAGATGCATTGTTTTATTCTTAAATTTGTTTACTTATTATAATCAAAGGTAAAGTATTCTGTTGGTTGCTTTTAATTTGGTTCAGGACTAAATCCTGAGAGAATTAATTTTAGGAGGATTAACTTATTGTTTCATTATTGTAACTCTCAGAAAGATAATCTCTATTAGCTGCGGATGATAATCAAAATAATTTCAATTGTTTATTTTTCTAATTGATATTTATCAATTATATAATAATAAAATGATGGCTTAGTTTTTCGCTTTTTAAAAAACGTTAAGTTTAACGATTAAAATTATGAAGTTTTGTATAGTATATTATAGAGCGACACACACAAAATAAAGTTATTATTTTTAGTGTATTTCAGATAATTAAAATTTTTTAAAAATATGTTAAACTTGCATATTAATATGAAATGTGTATCAGCCTTAAGAAATCGTATTTAAACATTTAGTTGTTTATTTTACATTTCGAAAATATTTTTAAAGAAGGTAAAAATACAATGTCCATGAAAGTTGGTCAAGTGGCATTAAATTAATTACTTGGGAATATATTTTTCCAATCAGAATATATGAGATATTAATAACTTTTAATGATTTAGTACATCAGAGTTTCAACCAAATATCTGTCTCCTAGTGGACTGATCGTAAAGATGCTGTTCCCAGTAGAAACAGAGGTCAAGCATCACTGGCCGCGGTCAGTGAGCGGGTGGGTGACCACTTTGATCAGCCTTCGAAGGGATCGACGGTGCACGGTATAAGTTCTCGTTAAACTGTTCTACCGTAAAGTGCTCGATTTCGCGCGCAGATAGTCGGGTTACCAAAGCAGAGGAGCCATTCCCTCTGCAGAGGATCAAAATTGCGATGGCATGTCTTCGGATCATCATCAGGGATATTTCACAGACCGTTAAAAATAGCCCATTGTGCAGCGTTCTAGAACGACGTACATAAAGTGCCTATCAGCCAAATATCTCCCTTACAAAAAATTTAAAAAAAAAAAAAAAAAACGGAATAAATATTTTCAGAAAGCAAATTTTTACTAAAAATTTACTTTTCAAAAAGGAAACTTGTGTTATGCCAAAGAAAGTGTTTTAAATAATTGATATGTAATGTTCTAGACATTCACAATAAACACAAGTAGACAGCCAATAAAATTTTGTGTAACTTTATTGTACTTCTCTAAAACAGAATTGTCCTTCTTAAACTAAGAAATATTTTTTTAATGCTCTTAGAACAGAATTACCATCTTAAATTTCTTATAAAAACCTCTGAATATATAAAATCTAATCATTTATTATTGAAGAAACGTATTTAATCATGTTAACTCAATCATGTTAAAATTTAATAATTCACTTTCTTTGAATTGAGTACACTAATACGGAAACTGATGAATCATTTTAGAATTAATAAAATGCCTTTTAAATTAAATTTTTAAGAAAATCAATACTGCTACAATTCGGATATGAGGGGTTCAAAGTAATTGTTAATTTATTTTTCTTTTTAGATATCTTGATATGATTAATAGATGATGACGCCTCTTCAAATGAGTGCGATAATAGTGTTCAAAATAAAACACTAAGAGAAAAAAATATTTTTTAACGAATACTTATTATTGACCTCAACTCAATTGGTTTTTTTATTTCTTGCAATCAAAATAGAATCTCATTCCCACAAAATCCTTAGAAACTAAGGAATTTTTTTTTTTTTTTTTTTTTTTTTTTTTTTTTTTTTTAGTTACTCTCTAATTTTCTACAACTACAGGCCAAAATGCTAAGACATTAGTTTAGCTGGAAATTTTTTTTCTCCAATTATGGTAATAGAAATGTTCATTTTTAAATGTGTATCTATCTTTGTTCCCCGTCATGGAAATGTAATCTTTTGATTTGCTGGGTGGGTATGGCAAGTAAGTTCCCCCAATGTAGTAGTCTAAAATAGTTGTTCCCAAAAACAAAAGTAAAGTTCCCAAAAATAGTTTGTAAAACCTCTATTTATATTTTTATTCAATCAAAAATTCAACATTTGTTTTATATTTCGTTGCTTTAGATGAAATTATTCAAGTGAAATTCCAGTGAAAAAATTGCTATTTAAAGAAACATTTCTGTTTTGATAACAATATTTATGGAAAAGAAATATGAAAAAGATAAGCATTTAAAAAAAATGTACTAGTATTTCCCATCGAATCTTTCATTTTAAAGAAAATAACCAATTCCACAAAAAGGAAAATTTTTCTTCTCTCATAACCATTCTCAATGTTTATAACAGTTTTTTTTCCTCCGAAAACCATAATTTAGCTTATTTTATTCATTTTCAGCTCTACCAAAACAAATTCAGAACTATTCCAGATGCCGCTTTAGACCCGTAAATTCCTACTCTATAACACCGAAGTTAAAAGTGTTATCTACGAAGCAATAAAAAAATTAAGTTCTCACATGAAATATTTTCAAAACGATTAGTAGTGTTTTAGTTAATATGTTTACGACTGCTAATGAGTTTCAATTATAAAATCCACCAAACGAAGGACGATAATTTCGGTTCCGTAGCCAAAAATAATCGAGGACCACTGATCTAAAATATTCTAAAAGTTCGTCAGACGATATGAGAGTTACTTTAAGGCTTCATTCTTAGAATGGGAGCTTTCTCAAATTTTACCTTGCATCCCGTCTAAAAAAATGCATAGTTCTATCTAGAAGGAAGAATCGAATCAAGGTAACAAAATGAAACAATGTATTAAGCGTAATATAAAAAAACAAATGGGAGGGGGGGGGGAGAAGCAAACAAACAAAAGAGAAATCTCTAGTGTGCTTGAAGGCCATGGAATGCACGTGTGGTCGAAACCTTTTTGGGAAAGAAGGATTTAGGGAGACCAAAATATTTTTATGTCATCAATAAAATAAACAAAAGGAATTGAGCCTACCGTGTATTGATCTGAGGTACACCTTCAATTTAATATCACAAAGGAAATGAGCTTTTTCATATGTAATACAAAAGTCTATCTTTTTATCCAATTTCTTTTCTAACAGGAAGAGGCGTATAAAATATGTTTAGAAATACTCGAGGGAAATTTCGATGTTTCCAGCCTAAGCATAAGATCATTGTGATGTAGCATGTTCGCATTTCAGAGATTTTACGTAATGTCCCTTTAATAGTGATTTTTGAAATTATTTTTACTTTCCATTAAAAAAGCAGATCTGTTTCTACAGCCCCAAATGACTATAAATTGATGAATAAATTAAATTCCTCATTTGTATTCTAAAAACTCAAAAAAATATGAAATAATTTCTCCTTGTTAAAAACTTTGTTACATCTTATCTTATTGGAAATATTAAGTTTAAAATTGGTAACATGCTATATTGTGTTGCCCGGTAAGTTCGCGCCGAATTTGGAAGGAAAAATGAAATATTCTATACATAATTAAAATATAGTTGAAGTACATTTAATAAAAAAAAATTGAAACTGTATTAGTGACATTCTATTCCACTATGTTGCTTTATCATTCGAACAACTTGAAAAACATGTCCTTTTAGAAAATTCTTTCCCTTTCAAACATGAGTTTTTATTTCAACCATAACGTAGAAGATTTTTGCATGCAGGTCATTTTGTAAGGATCGAAATACTGGTGAGGTCTAGAGAGTATGGTGGATGCTGTTGAACATCCTAAACGAACTCTGGTAACACTTGAGTTATTAAAGAACCTTCTGATTTGCTATTTTTGGTCGTTATTGTTCAATTGCAACCTTTAATTAGTCTAATTGGGAGCTATACTTTTCCGAATATGCATATATACAATTTGCTTTCAGTCAATTTGATAGATTTGTGTATTTTCCTATACATAATTTAACAATAAGTGGCTAAACTTTAAAACAAAATTAAGAAAGATAATACTAATTTTTGAGAATGTAATTTCTTTTCATTAGAAAAGTGTTTTTCGAATCGTTTTTTTTATGACTGATTTTAAAGTTTTGTTTTTAGATAAAATATAGTGTTCTCATTTGGGAGACTTAATTAATTTTAAAAAATGATCTGTTTTCAATTGCATACCATCGAGCGACGTCACGCGTGGGGAGAATCGTATTTGTTTATACATGATTCAGCAGTCAATCAGGCTCGACACGCACGTGTGACGTCGCTTGCATGTATCCAATTAAATCTGATCGAAAATTGATTCAGTGTGATAATAAAACAAGCCTAATACATGCCAAGCACAACCACGTGATTAGACACAAACCATGTAATTTCGGTAGTATTCTAATATGCCTAATTAGCGAAAAATGATTCGTAATTTTGTTTAAAATTTGGGGCAAAATTAATAACCTTTGAAGTCAAAACGCCAGCAGCCAATTTGAACAATATTACTTTACATTATTATTTGAACATCATACAAAACCCGAGTCCTGCGATAAGTTTTGTTAGAATTCACCTTTGATTTGTCTTCGAATTGTTATAAATGAAATACTTCAAAAAAACTTCTGGAATTAGATTTGATGTAATTCGTCAAACATTTTAAATTTATTTTTTATTATCATAGATTTTGTATTTGTATTCTATATGCACAAATTTAATAATCTTTTTTTTTAAAACGAAAATCAAATAAACACACGTACTTTCCAAAAAGGAAAAGAATGAGATTAATTGCATTGTTTTTAACTAAGCAAATGTTATTTTGTAGAATGGCGATGCAGACCATTCTACATCGCCATTCATTTTAATACAAAACTAATTATGGTAGAACTCCTAATTTGACGAGAAAAACGTTGTCGAATTATTTCAAATATCGGGATGAGTTCAATGTGCTTCAGATGATATTTTTCTGATATATTTATGTACATACTTTTATTTCGTTAAATGTTTGATTTGTTAGAGTTTTTTAAATAACAAGTTTATTTTTTTTTTCTCTCCTTAATGAGGACTGAGAGTTTCCTAAAATTTGTTCACTGTTCAAACCATGAGCATTCTTTCAAAATGGACGGGACAATCATTAACTATACTGGAGTTGCAAAAGGTGGATCTCGTTGTTGTTGTTGTTGCGGTTGTTGTTTTTCTCCTTTTCTTTTTTGACGAGGACCAGGATCGGAGAAATTCGATGTCCGGGAGTCTCCTGGAAAAAAATCATTAAAAATTTGCATTTGTTTCAAAATGAAGTATCACATATGGCGTACAGGGTGTTCAGCGGACGACTGACTGATTTTAAAATTAAAAATCTCGGGAATGAAACAAATGGTACGAAGACTGTAAAAATTTTCTACAGAAATTTTGGAATTTAGTTACAACGGTTGCCGACAAACGGCCAGAGCGATCAGTATTAGCGTTCAAGAGGGAAAGGAATTTCTCGTACAGAATTAGGAGATTTAAGTCAAGTATTTTATTGAACAACGTATGTTTCTGGTAATAGAATATCACAGTTGGATTACAGTTTCAACCCCTTAACGATCGGTTAATTTTCAAGAAAACGATCATAAAAGTGTCTATTTTTTTTGACTTTTGTATTTGTATTACGTATTTGATTAGTGCTGCAACTAGTTTAAAATAAACTAACTATCTACAATTACCTTAAAAAGATCCTGTTACTGCCACCAGGCGTGTAAAATGAGAAATAAAATTTTTTCCGAGCAAAAGAAATGAATTAGTTTTATTCTTATTGGCGCGTTACTACTGAACACGCCAGCTCGTCAATATCACGGGAGCGAGAAATAGAGGGCGAAAACTCACCCCGTCATTTTCACGGGAGCGAAAAGGAAGGGGTTAAGGCATTTGAGTTCTGTTCTAGAATTCTGTGCTTGTACAGTGCCATCTCATAACAACTTTTGTAACTGAATTTCAAATTTCCGCATAAAAATTTTGTAGCTTTCACAATCAAAGTACCGTTTCTTTTATTCCTTTATCATCCTTTGTTTCCGAGATTTTTAATTTTGAAATTATTCAATCATCCGCTATATACTCTGTAGAATTTACAATTAAGTTGAAAGTTAGCTTATAATCAAAATGAACCATTCAAAAATTAGTTTTCTTATCTTGCTTGTTTAAGTTTATATATTTCTTTTTTTATTTTCTGCTCCTAGAAAAAAAAATTAACATTAGAAATCCTTGCAAAATCTGCTGAAAAATGTATCAGATATTGGTATAGTAGGGAAGGAATTGCTCTAAGAAAAATAAGAAACTCTCAGTCTAGCTTAAACTTGTACCGAAGTTCAATTTTCTACCATATATGGGGCATGATCCTTAATCTTTAAATACCTAAGGATCAAAAGGTGTTAGTTGCCCTATTAAATCAATGGCGGGCAACATAAGCTAAAATTAATGAAAAACTGTATAGGATTAGGTCCACTACGTACCAATTGAATAATGAGATATGCAGTTGCGTTGACTTATATATAATTATGAAAGTGGTAAAAGTATGATGATAAGTTAAATGAATAAGATATAGACTTTAAAATAGTCTCGCCGTCCTTCTTGTATCTAAATAGAAATCGTATTTACAGTAAAGAAACTCATTTTCCATTCACATGAAGTTATATTATTCCTGTAAAATATGTTCATTAAAGAATTTTTTTTTCTTCTTCAAAGACACTATACAGCCTACTGAATGCCAAGACCATTTCAATTAGTTTCCTCTAGCAAAGCCGAAACACCGACTACAGGTTAAAAGTTCCTGATGTATGGGAAATTTTCAAACTTTGGTGCTCGCTCTCTCCTATCGGTTTTAGAAGCCTTGTTACAGGTTATAGTTTAGAACGCGTTACAGAGAAATACAGAAAAAGTTTAAAAATTTTTCATCTAAAGTTTATTACAAGATAGAAGGGAGATACTTTAAGTAAATATAAAAAATACTGTGACTATCCAATTTCAAAAATTTTCTAGGGCTAACTCGTGCCAAGTTTACAACCTTGACTGCAGTAGGGTCTGCATTTCCCTCTACAGAAAGATCCAGCTCCCTTAAATTAATATTTTTCTGAGAAACTATTAAATTGTTCTTAATGCAGAAATATCTCTTATCAGAAAGTATGGGCAAGAGAGGTAGCTATGAGCATTATTTTAGTAAAAGCAAAAATGGAACTTTAAGAAAGCAACCACTCAATCTATGAATATTTGTCTTCGCCTTCCAATGAGGTGTACCGGGTTCAAATCCAGCAATGACTGGTCGATACTCCGCATTCGGCTTGTGCCGACCACCGTGCTGACGTAAAATATTCTAAGTGGTAGACGTATCATGGGTTAGAGTCCCTTTGCTGTCAGGCTAACTGTGGGGGGCTCTCGTGATCCTCCGCTTCATGTAATTCAAATGCGGGTTAGCTACATCAAAAAAGTCCTCCACGAAGGCAAATTTCTCTCAATACTTGATACAGGAGTTCCCTTGTCTTCTCGATTGGGTTCAAAATTATAAGGCCACAAAGTTGAACATTAGTAGTCGTAAACCCAAAAATTGGGCTGTTCAACGACGGTTATAAAATATAAATTATAACATATAAAATATTTACACATTAACTAACACTTACCAAAGGTAATTTTAGGCAACTGTTGAAAGTTGATGAGAAGTATATAGTTCTTTTTACTAACTCTTTTCTAAGATGGTTTGAGCAATCGGCTGCAGGCCTAAAGAAGGACCTTGTTTCAATTCATATCCTCCGTCAATCTATCTGGGGCGCTCCCACACATTTAAATTTTAAATTAATTCTCAACGCGTAATTGCTCGATGACGATGGAATATATATAAGAATCGTACGAAGAAAAACAGGAGCTGTTATGCAAAATGTTCTAAAAGACCCGAAATGGTTGAAATATCTCGATAATAATAAAAATAATATATTTTTAATATTTTACGAAAAGCTATCCTTCGATAAAAAAGATTTGACCTCGCCCTAAGGGATTAAATAGGGAACAACTTCATATTATTGTATGGAATTCGCCATTTTTTATTGAAGATTTAGATTCTCCAGAAAAAATACCTCAATTTGACTGATAAACTTTTGCATATTGGTTCACAAATGGTGTTGCCATTGCAACAGGAAAATGATTATTTAAAATGAAGATATCTCCGTAATATATGTCTAAAAAATTAAAAACATTCTTGTTGGAAATCTTGTTAAAATCTCTCTATTGATACTGAATTCGATCTCTCCTCACCCCCTAGACTGGAGTGACTAGCAGGGAGTAGGGATTAAGTTCGGTATCATGGTGTATAGTTTTTTGCAAAAACGTATCAATTTTTATTTTTTCGATGTGACATGCGTTTCTGGTGATATTTGAATGTTCCGGGACTTTTGAAACGCCCTGTGGGAGGCAAAAGACACTAAGAATTACCTAAATGATCAGCAAGAAGGGAGCTCATTCTCCTGTTCTTTTTCTCGGGCTTCTTCCAGAAGAGTGATCGGACTTGTCCTTTCTTGCTCGTGTGCACCATGTCCACCGAGTGACACCTGGCCATGGGACTCCTCCAGAAATCGAGAGAGTCAGCAATGGACAGCTTCTCCGGAGCGGTATCCTTCCGATGTTGATCGTTGAGCGAGTACAGTTTGTGCGTGATATCTTTGCCGATTAAATTGTACATCACAAAATTGAGGAACTGGTTGTTTTCCAAGATTGTCAGCAACTCTTTGCGGCCCCAACACAGCAGCTGGCAACGTTCTATAGCTGTGAGCGTCACCTGCACCATGAAAATTATTGATTAACGTAAATAGAATGCGTTAACAGGTATTTTGCTAATCCAATCAAATTCTTAAATAATAGTGAGTTGAAAATCTGTCTGAAGATGCAGCATAAAAATAATACAGCAAAATCAAAGTCAAATATGGGAAAGAGCAAAAGCAGCATAAGACCAAAATTTGTCTTCAGATATATTTGTCAAAAAATTAGAAAATAATAGTTAATTTGAAATAGAAAAGAAAGTAAACTGAAATGGAATAAAATAAACATGAATGAAATACAAGACTTTTTCTAGGGACACCATTGAATGCATTCGTGTGGGAGCATTTCTATGAAAAAGTGTATAATGAAACAAAAGTGTAACTCGAAACATCTTCTAGAAAGAATACAGAAATTATATCTATATTAATAAAGCAGTATGTTTATATGTATGTGTGTACATATCCGATAAAATCTGTCATTCTGAACAGATTTGCACTACATTTAGTGTACATACGTTCAAAGATATGCCTGTCCTAACTGTTTACTTTATAACTCCCTCCGATTAGCGTTTAGCGAGTATTTTTAATACGTATTTTATAATATGAGTGATTTTATAGCTTGCGACTCTAATCAATAAGAAATTAGCTTTATCACACGTTTATATGAATTATTTATCTTAAGTTTCGTATGTTAGATTGTCCAAGCTGAACCAACATTAACAATTTCCCAACATATGAGAATAGTGCCACCGAATTGATACTTTAAAAGGTATAAGAAATCACGTAGTTCTTTTATTGATACTTGCGATTTTAAAGCGTGTCTCTATAAACTTAAATAATGGATATTCAACATGAACTAATAAAATAAAATTAAAGTAATATAATAAGCCATGAAAAAATTATGGTAAATTCTTAATATCACATTTAGTATGAAGCAGCGACGGAATATATAACAAATAATTAAAAATTAAGGTATCTGTGAATGTGTAGGATGGTAATATCTGGGTACTCAACCATTTCAGAGGGCGGTTAAAAACTATTACTCCATTATCTACGTTATGCACCTTTGTATAATAGGTTCTCATCACCATAGTACTTATAAGGGCAGTGTAGCGTAACTACCACTACAAGAATTAGATATCAATTTACTAGTATATAAGACATGTTAACACAGTTCAATATTGGGGTACCTTTTGATAGATGAAAATTGACATTGGTGAAAGACCCTTTCCCCACTCTGGTGGCCTGTGGATGTGATTTGAACACGCCTACCTCGACGGATACGCCAACTATGATTTGAACACGCCTACTTCGATAGATGGTCCACATTGAAAAGTTGACTTGAAATTGTGATTGCGTCATCGTCCTCCTCGCGCTGTTGCTTCTCGGTCTCATTTACACACAACGGTTTCCTGCACATACTCGAGGGCTAATAGCAGAGAAGCAACAACACACACTCGTGAATTTAATATAGCTCTCACCACAAGTGGTCAAAATCTAGTGAACTTAATACAGCTCTCCCAGTCTTTTGCAAATACGGCAACTAGTGGTTACGTTCATCGAATTCTATCCTTATTCTGGTGGGGAAGTATTGTGGCGTAACAACAATTATTAAATATCAATTCACTAGTATATAAGACATGATAATTCGATTCAATCTTGATGTATCTTTTGATAGATGAAGGTCGGCATTGTCGAAATCTACTCTCCCCACAGGCAGTACCAGAAGTATTTAGTACCACATTCAATTAATCATTATTGGCATCTATAATAATATTTTGCTGAATTTTACGGCCTTCGAAATAAGTACCGACATTAGTTAGTTCGCCAAAAATGATTGTAAAACTTTTATTGTCGATTCTCTAAAATTACAATTAACCGATTTGGGTAATAGGTACAAATCAAATTTTTTAAGAAAATTGCATTAAAATGCCAAATTAATGGAGAAAATGTACTTACTCGAATACATAAAGGGCAAAAACTTGCCTTCTTGTTATTAACGCCAATAATGTCTAATCAATTTTGGTAATAGGTAGAAATTCAAATGAAAAAATTTGTTTTGTATTAAAAAGCTGCATTAATGGAGAAAAAATACCTCTTAAGAAAACCCATAAAAAATTGCTTTATTATTGACGCTAATGATACTTGCTAAATTTTAGTAACGCATACTAATGTTGCTATGTAACTTCAAAAAAACATGTTTTGCTTAATCTGATAACATAAAGTCACCGGGATGGGTGACGAATAATTAAAAAAAATTTAATTGTTAAAGCTCAATTTATTATGTCGATGTTTTTTTAGTTATGTGAATGATTTCGTAGTGTTGATTAATACTTATTTATCGATTCCCCCCCCCCCATTCGAAGAACGGGCATTTAGCAAGTAAGAAATAGCATGAAAGCCTTTTATGTATGAAAAGCATTGCGGCATAAATCATTTTTCCATTTTTATTGTAGTCATATTTCAAAGTAACTTAAATGATCTATAATTAATCATTTAAAAGTAATATTTTATTACAGATAATAAAACACTGTTTTATTACAGATAATAAAACACTGTCTCCCTATGTTTAATTCTTTTACGTTTAAGTTATTTGATAAACTAATGCAATCTTGTGCTTTCATCTGAAAATAAAGGAGAAAATCTGATCATTAGCTTACAAGTTATTTTTGTATAAGTCTTTACCTGGAAGCGCTTATCTGTATTGACGTCGCAAGATTCCCACTCAGGTGAATCGACAAATTCAGTGGGCAACAAGTAATGAAGAAGAATCTCTTCACACGTCACTTTCATCCTGTTTTTCAATAAAAAGTTCATTATTAGTTCTACTTTCATTATTAAGGAAGATTCATGATTAATAATGGAAGTGGTCATGCAAAAATGTCTATAAAAGATTACAATATTCAAAAAAAATATAATTGAAAAAATTAAAAATAAGAAAAATGTAAAGTTTTAAAGCGAGAAAAATGTTTCATCATTTTAACCCTTTTTTTTCATTATTAGTTCTACTTTCATTATGAAAGAAGATGCATGATTAATAATGGAAGTGGATACAAAAATGTCTATAAAAGATTACTATATTCAAAAAAATGTAGTTTGAGAAAAAATTCAAAATAAAAAAATTTAAAGTTTTAAAGTGTGAAAAAAATTTCATCATTTTAATCCTTTTTTTAATTTAAATTATTAAACAACTCCTCACGCTCCACAAAGTATGAAAGGAAGTTTACAGATGTCAATAGTCAAAATACAATTGTAAATTAAGAAGAAGCAGAACAAAATTAAAAGTTTAAGTTGTAAACAAAATTGCGCTAAATATTTAGGTTTTCAGTGCATTTGACGAACAAGGACGAAACTGGTAGCCAAGAAATACTTGAGTGTCTTAGTTTCTTTTTTAAGTTTTCTCTTTGACTTGAATGGAAATTACCATAAAATATAATGTGTTCTACAGTTTCAACATCCTGACCACATGAACAAAAATTACAATTCACTAAATTAAAACCTAAACAAGTAACAGTGAAAATTTCCACGTCCTGTAAGAATCTGTGTTAATTTAAAGTCAGTAAAAAAATTTCCTGTACTTCAATCGCTGATAAAATAGTTGGAAAAACAAATTAATTAGAGATCACACAGCTTTTGGTCTTTTAACCCTTTGACGCTTTACCCGACACTCGGTTGTCGAACAACTAATTTGTATGACAATAAATCCCCCCCCCCGCAAAAAAAATTGCAAAATTGACAAATATAACTGACCGAAATATTCACAAATATATTGATTTATATTTATTGGCAAAAGTTCTCTAAATTTAAGTCATTAAAGTTATTAATTATTATCTTTCGCTATTTTTTGTTGTATATTTATAAACGTTTGCCATATGAAAATGGCGAAGAAACATCGGATATTCAACGACAAAATTTGGGTTGAAAACGATACTAAAAATCTTCTAAATATAACTGACCAAAGTATTCACAAATATATTGATTGGTATTTATTGGCAAAAGTTCTCAAATTTATGTCATTACAGTTATTAATTATTATCTTTCACTATTTTTTGTTGTACTTTAATAAACGTTTGCCATATGAAAATGGCGAAGAAACATCGGATATTTAACGACAAAATTTGGGTTGAAAACGATACTAAAAATCTTCTAAATATAACTGACCAAAGTATTCACAAATATATTGATTTATATTTATTGGCAAAAGTTCTCAAATTTATGTCATTAAAGTTACTAATTATTATATTTCGCTATTTTTTGTTGTATATTTATAAACGTTTGCCATATGAAAATGGCGAAGAAACATCGGATATTCCACGACAAAATTTGGGTTGAAAACGATACTAAAAACTCTCTTGCAAGTTATGAAACCGAAATAGTTTGAAAGAGGGATGGATTGTCGAAATAATGTGAGTAGACAGTTTACTTCCAGCTGAATGAAAAGAACCATAAATCACGTCGTTATTCTGAAAATTTCTGCACAAGTGTTTTCTCGGCATTGTGAATCAGTGAGCAGGAAAAAGTATTTACGGTGAAGAAGGAATAGAAATCATAGTTCAGATTTTCGGCCGAGGATGAAATGTTCAAAATGCTAAATGTTTTAGAAACAATAGAAGTAAAGTCTCCTTTTGTATGAAACTGTTTGCTTTTCATTATTTGATTTCAATTTATTCTTTTAAGAAAACGAATCGTTTCTATAATATCTTTATTTGTTAAAGTTTATTTTCATGCATTTAATGACATGGTTACGTAGTACAATAACATTGTACTTGGTTTGTTACTGGATAAGCATAACTTATCTAATAACAAATAAATCGATAAATTCCTATTTCTGATTAGATCTCTTTTCCGCTTTAACTAACTTTCTACTTCTTTTTTAATCTATTGGCATAGAATAAATTTTCTGTTGTGTCTGTAAAAATACTTGATTTTACCTAAATTCGGTGGGGGGATTTTTTTAAGAAACTCATCTAGTGGCAAAAAATTTCATAGTTCTATTTTGAAACTTTTTTTTTTCCAATGGCCGCCTGAAGAATGGCCTTCGTCATACAGGCATCTGAAGGGCAGATTTGTTGTCCACTTTTTCAGAGGCACTCCATTAGGTGGGTTAACGTTGTTCCTACAGTGAGGACAGATGGTACAAAGGAACATCCATGCCTTTACCGGGATTGGAACAAAGCTATTTTGAAACTAAAATAGGTAAAACACGCAAGCATTTCTACGCCATTATGAAACACTATTATTAAGCAGTGCCATGCAGAGGCAGACGAGGAGTGTAACGGTCTTAGACATCTTTACCAAAGGAGATATTCAATTGACGACTAAAAGCAACGAAGCTATCTTTAAATCAATAACTATAGCAAGAGCCGCGATGGCTCAAAGGATAGAGCGTCCGCCTTCCAATGCGTCGAACCGGGTTCGAATCCCAGTCGATACGAATTCAGCATCCGGCTTGCACCGACCACAGTGCTGACGTGAAATATCCTCAGTGGTAGACAGAACATGGGTGAGAGTCCCCTTGCCGTCAGGCTAACCATTTGAGGTTCTCGTGGTCTTCCTCTCCATGTAACGCAAATGCGGGTTAGCTCCATCAAAAAGTCCTCCGCGAAAGCAAATTTCTCCCAATACTAGATCCAGGAGTTACTTTGTCTTCTGGATTGGGTTCAAAATTACAAGGCTACGGAGTTGAACATAGACCCATAAAATCGTAGACCCATAAAATTGGGTCTGCTGTTCAACGACGGTTATAAAGTATAAAATAAAATAACTATGGCAACAATTTTTTTGCCTACCATACTCGAAATGGTCGACCCTCTCTTAACGAAACTCTGAACTTATGAATATAGTTTATTAGATATTGTTAACATATTAACCAAAGAACGACTACTAATCAGTTTTAAAATATTGAATGCGAATATGGAAATTTTTTCATCTTTTAAATAATAGTGTTTTAAAAATTAGATTTAATGCCAGATTGTTAACCATCGTAGGCCTGGAAAAGCTTCTAATCTAGCTCTGAATTGAATTTTGAGGAATATGCAAACTGGAATTGAATAAAATAAGATAAATTATGGTTTTCACCACAAGAAAATATGAAAATATTTAGAATAGTTATCGAGGTAACGTATTTCTTTGCTGTTGAATTCAGTTCTTTTGTTTTAAATTGAATATTTCGATTAGAATTTATTTAATTTTTTTTTAAAAAGCATATCCTTTTCATACTATTTTCAATGTGTTATTAGTATAATAAATATATAATCTTAAATTTTTTCTACTGGCATTTTATTTAAATGATTTTCTTAATGAGCAAAATATAAAACAAATGATGGATTTTTGATTAGATCTGAATAGTATTCCAGGTTTTAAAAAAATCATAATTAGTTTAAAAAAATTATAAAATGCAATCTTTGAAAAGTGGAGAACACTATTATTTTTTCATAAAAAAAACTCTAATTGAAATTTAATATCGTATAAAAAGATCAATTCAATTAATTTTTATCCGTATATATGAGCAAATTTTTTTGCAGCTTTCTGATAGATTCTCCTTAACAAGTTAAATAAATCGATCTCTTTGGAGGCATTAATATCCATGTAGAGAAAAGGTTTCACTAATATTAAATGCTTCTATTCATTCTGTTAGTGGTTCAACATCAAACCCTGATGGATCCTATCAACATGAGTTTGAAAAGTCATTTATAACTATAATAGTTGCCAGCATTATACTATTATTATCTCTCTTCTTAACAGCAAAGCCTATTTTTTTTGTTTTAACAAGTGTTAGTACCTAAAAGAGGTGTCAATTTTTTTATTGATCTCATGTCACATCTGTATTAAAAGCTTCGATAGGTTATAGAGGAATAAAGGACTATTTTATAACTTTGAAAGTGAATAGCCTAGTTCATGCGATTTTTCATACTTTGCAATAAAGTTTAAAGTTTGAGGAGCGTAAGGGACTGACAATAAATTGTGAAAGAAAACAAGTATTTTTGAACACCCTATGCCAGGAAATTGAGCAATAAGCTTGTAACTTGCATCAATTACTTTGGTTGTTATTTGCAATAACTATATAAAATTTCGTAAATCTAGCTTACATATTTATGGAGATATAAACATTCTTATAAAAATATATATTTTTTTGTCTTATGGTTTTATGTTATTACTTTAAAAATATTCAGTAAAATCAAACACAATTTTCGGAACAATTGAAAATTAATTACAAAATATTGTTTTAAAATTTGAAAAAAAAAATAAATAATGCGCAAGATATGAGTATTTAAAATAAATCTTTTGTACTGTGCATGAGCAGAAAAAAATTTGAAGTTTTTCTTCGTACTTTTATAGTGAAACGTATTTGCCAACTAATGGAAAAAAACTGATTTAATTTCTTAAAATTATAAAAAATTTCAAGCAATTTTCTAAGTAGTTTTGTACTTTAAAAAAAAATAACTAGGGGCTTTCCACAGAAATTATTATGTACTATTGCAATTTGTATTACCTTATTATAACCGGACCGCAGGAACAAAATTAAACATGTAGAAAATCCTTCATCATTTTGAGTTTTCTTTTAAAAAGTACAAAAGCTACTTAGAAAATTTCTTCAAACTTTTAACAGTCTTAGGATATTTAAATCAAATTTTCTTCTATTAATTGCCAAATACGATTCACTGTCAAATTATGAAAAAATAATTTTAAATGTTTTCCTTGCATGCGCAGTACAAAAGATTTACTTTAAATACTCATATCTTGCGTATTTTTTTTTTCAAATTTTTTTTCAAATTTTAAAGCGATAAAATTGCCTGAAAAAAATTTGCTTAATTTTACTAATAAATTTAAAATTATAGCAAAAAACATCAGACAAAAAGAAAAATAAATAAATAAATAAAAAAAATAAAAAAAACAGTTTTTTATACAAATGTTCCTATCTCCCTAAATATTTAAACTAGATTTACAAAACTTTATGCAGTTATTGCAAATGGCAACCAAAGTAATATATATAAGTTACAAACTTATTTCTTGATTTTCTATCATAGGGTGTTTAAAAATACTTGTTTTTTCACAATTTATTATCGGTCCCTCAAACGCATGAATGCTTTAAATTTTACTGAAAATTATGAAAAATCGCATGAATTAAACACTTCTAAAATTATAAAGTAGTTCTCTAAGTCTTTCTGGGGAAATTCAAATAAATATTAAACAAGGAAAGTGTCTCTTCCATTATTGTAGGGTAGTGTATCTAACTTCTTTGGCCAGTTATATAAAATCCATGTTAATCTAACATCTACAAAGATTTTAAGCGTTACATTTTTTATCGCTTATCTATATTCTTTTTAAAAGAAATAAAAGATATTTCCCCTTAGCTACGTTAACTTGTTTGACATAAATAAGTATGTAAAAATTCAAACGCAAGAGCGTTTTTAGTTCTCACTCGATTGATCAGTAACTAAATAACACTAATATCATTGATTTAATACTGATTTGAGTTACCTGAAGTTGAATCGTTTTAAAAGTTTCAAAGGAAGTAATTGAAACTTAATCTTAAAAACATACTAAGTTATTTAGAGGGATAAGCAACGACATTTTGCATCGTGATGATATCAAACGTTTCCAGACTCTGGAATATGTTTGCAGAGAAATGTTTGTCACTTTGCCACAAACAATAAAAAATAAATGAATTGATCTAAAATGCAAATCATCCTACGAATAAAGCAGCTTGTTTTATGAGAAAAAATTCCATGCACTCTAAAGTTCAACGATTTCTTACTTTCCAGACAAAAGTATTGCAAGTCTTTGATCAGTGTATGAAACACCCTCCATAGCGTAATGTTCACCAGGTTCCAGAGGTTCGACGTGAGCATATCGAACCAGCTGCCGGAACTGGTCTTTTCCCACTTTCAGGGGATGAAAGACCTTTAAATACAATTCCTGAAATTCAGGAGCGATTCTAGGGGGGAGATTTCTGTAGGCCACATAGGCTGCTTGAGCACAGTTTGCCACCAGTAAAGTAGTGTTCCAGGCCAGAACGTCTGGTCCAGTACAGGATTTTAGGGCTGCCCAAACGCCTGCTGACAGAAACCCAAGCGTCAGCAGAACTCGAACTAGAAACTGGGCTGCTTGTCGACGAACTGTTGGTACCACAAAGGCAGCAGCGAAGCAGAAGTGTGCCGCCTGCAGTAAGAAGTGCCTGGTCTCCACCCACGGTTCGCACAAGCGTCTCTGCACCCCGTCAGTGCTTAGAGTGGAGGTGGTGGAGAAAACTTCTGTGTCGTTGCTGGGGTGCATTGAGGAGGAACTGGAAGGGATCTGTGGTTGGAGTAAAGTCTTTCCCACATCATCATCTGGATCTGGGTAGTCTCAAGCAGTTTGTGCCATCAACTTCCGACTATTCTCCATACCTGGAATAAATTAGGCAAAATATATTTAAGATAGAAATCACTGAAAGTGTGCTAATCAATGTGACATGGTTATGAAGTTATTAGAAAGATTTTGAACCACGTATTAACGTGCATAGGTTCTGCACAGTATTGGATACTTGCATCTCGAGAAGAAGTGATTATGTCTAAACATGTGATGTGATTTGAATCAGATTTAATTGGATATACCTGTTAATGACATCACTTTTGCCTATCGAACCTGATTCTCATCTTAATCAACAAATGCCATGATTTACCTACGATGACATCACTTACAAGCATCCAATTACTACACAGAGCCTAATGAATTAAATTAATTAGTCAAAATGTTTAAGATGGAATAAGTGAGGCAAAATATTTAAGATGGAATAAGTTACGCAATATATTTAAGATAGAAATCACTGAAAGTGTGCTAATCAATGTATCATGGTTACGAAATTATTGGAAAGATTTTGAACAGCATGTTCACGAACGTACGTTCTGGAAAAGCGCAATCGAGTACTTGCATCTCGAGAAGAAGTGAAGTGATTATGCCTAATCATGTGATGTGATTTGAATAGGATTTAGTTGGATATACTTGTTAACGACATCACTAATGTCTATCGAACCTGATTCTCATCTTAATCAACAAATGTCATGATTTACCTACCATGACATCACCTGCAAACGTCCAATTATTGCACGGAACATAATTAATTAATAACATAATTATATCTTGGTCGTGTGATGGCAACAGATACATTTTCTTTTTCACATTACGTAAGTGACGTCATTTTGTGCACCTGTCAATAGTGAGCTTGTTACATAAGAGGTGTGTTTTATTTTCTTGTCACCGGGGTGATTCTGCGATGCAAAATGTCACACTCCCATGTTTAAGTACTATTAAAATTATTTTTAAGTTGTGTGTTGTATCGAAAAGATAGGGTATTTATTAAAATCCATTTAAACTCTTCCTGCTTCACTCTATGGCTATTCACTCACTATCCTTTGTGCATGCTCTGCCAAAATTAATACCGGTTTCTTTACAGAGTAATTTTTATAATGAACTTTCATTTACCTAAAAATAAAATTTTCATTTGTATAATATCATAGTACTCACATTATACACAGGAAATTCGAATACCGTGTTTAGATTTTACAAAAAGCTCTTAAATAGATGAGTTTATGCAATAGAAGGAACGTTTTACTTTCCAAAATTAGAAATGTCAGCATTTCTGAAAAATAGTGTGGACGAGTCTCTTAACATTCATTTTATGTCAGCTTGGCTCTTCACAGTCGGAATCTTAGAGTAGAATAAATTATTGATTTTTTTTTCTGGAAGGTACATGCTTTTTTCATTTAAAGAAAGAAAAGAAAATCCTCATAAATAAATATTGCCTGAAAATAGGTGCTGAGTTTTAAATGAAAAATTACTTTTCAAATAAAAAAGCAAATTTTATAAAAGAAAAATCAATGATTTTTAATTTTTTATTGAATGGATTACGTAGCAGGGATGCGAGGATGGTTTCCCCCATTGAAATTATATTTCTTTCATTTTGTAACTAATCGTCTATTTTTCTATATAAGACAAGATAAAAATTTGAAATTTGTGATTTATCTAAACATGCATATTCACTCCCCTACGTACCGAATTTATTTCATTTCAACATACGACAAAACGGCACCTATGGCAAAAGTAGTATTCTACATTTTATGCAGAAATCATACACAGGGATTTTTTTTTAATTGGGTTAGAAGAAAGAAACAAATATTCAAATAACTTAAAAATAAACATTTTTTCGGCAATTAAAATGCAAAAAGTCTCTCTGTCGGCCAGGTCACTTATTACAGCTAGAGTTAGGCTCTTGCTAAAAAACGAGCATCTGATCGGCCTGCATTTTTTTCTCGATCTTCTCTAGTGGTTTCAATGCCGGAAAAGGAATCTCTTGATTCGGTGGTAGGAAAACGTGGTACAGATCCAGGTGGCAAAATTACAAACAATCTTGCTATGTTAGTCCTTCCATACTAAACTGCCTTTTTATGGGAAGTGGTTTTCAAGTAGTCTACAAATGTAAACGTCTCGTTTATCTATCACTGATGTTATTTGGTTTATAAATTTAAATGCCTCTTATATGATGTAATTGATGACATGTCCCGGAATACTTTTGCCTTGTTTCTTTTTTTTAAGTGTAATGGTAATTTCCCGTTATTTCAGGCTCACTGACTTCTTTTAGTTTGGTAATTGTGTAAAATTCGCAGTCATTAAAAAAAAAGAAATCATCTCAACTTGTGTAGAAAAAGGAACGTATATAATAATATAAAATAAAAATTAATACAAGTGTGTCGTTAAGTACAAGCTAATAGTAATTAAGTACAAGTTATAAATACAAGTTAAGTGTGACAAACTCGAAGCGACAAAAACGCATTTTGACATTAAATAGACAATATATTTTTTCTTTGTCCGCATTTGGAAATCAAAAATATATTCAGTCCTTCCATCTACTTCAGAAGAAATACCACTCCTAAACAGTGGCATCTGGAATTGAAAGACTTTGCTACAAGCTTATTGTTTTGAAGTTTGCGTGCAGGATGATTATTATTCCAAACTGTTCTACAATCTAAATGGTGGTAGTGTAACGTGCGTATGGGTCAGTATTGTCTTCGGATCATCATAATGGATGAATCACAGACTTAAACAGTCAATTAGTGTAGCTGCATAGTGCGACTTTAACAACTAAACCAACATTTTATTTTTATTTTATAACCGTCGTTGAACAGACCCAGTTCTTGGGTTTACGACTAGTAATGTTCAAATCCGTAGCCTTGTAATTTTGAACCCAATACAGAAGACAGGGAATTCCTGGATCAAGTATTGGGAGAAATTGGCTTTAGTGGAAGACTTTTTGATGAAACTAACCAGCATTTGCGTTACATGAAGAGAAAAACCACGAGAAACTCCCTCGGTTAGCCTGACGGTAAAGGACCTCTTTCCCATTATACGTCTACCACCGAGGATATTTCACGTCAGCACTGATGTCGGTGCAAGCTAGATGCTGATTCCTATCGACCAGCTATCACCGGGATTCGAACCCAGTTCACCTCATTCGTATTGAATGTAAGGTTTAATGGCACAAAGTTCCCTCTCGTTGGAAAGCGAACGCTCTATCCCCTGAGCCATTACGACTCTAAACCAACATTTGAATTAATCACTTAAAAAAGATAATGGATTCCTGCGTCAGCTCTTAAAATACGTGAATTTCAAACTTATAATCATTTTTACTCTAGCCTATATTTTTTTAATATAGAATCTCAATAATATTAATGTATACTCCGTAAAAAGCACCTCAATGAGAAAAGTTATATTATATATTTGCATGTATTAAATGTAAATTTTTCTCAAGTGAATTCCACTTGAGTTATTTTAATGGCATAAATCAAATCCATATTAGAATAATAGCCCCGACAACTCGAAGCGCTGAGTTAGCATTTTTAAACGCCTTTTGATATTATATAGACATTATTTTAGATTTTAGATTTTCAAATTTTGAAATCAAAAATATATTCTGCCCTGCATCTATTTTTGAAAAAATGTCACTTCCATAAAGATGCAGCTAGGAATTCAAGTCAGTATGAAAATGTTTCTCTCCGTATCATATTCTCTACGTAATGGATTTTCTATGCCGACCGGCTTGTGTAGGGGGCAGGGAACTGTCCTTGCATCAGAAAGGTCCTGAGTTCGAATCCCGAGCAAGGCATGGATGTTTTTTTTCTCTCTCTCTGTGTTCTATGTCCTTTCTCCTTTGTGTGTGAATGTGAGCCGCCCTATAAACTGGTTGTGTTTGCGTGAATGGTGTGGCAGAAGTCGAATTCCTGGCCATAGATGGCGCCACTGAAAAACAGGAACAATTGCACCCCCACTGCCTAAACAGGCATACGACTAAAAGAAGAAAAAAAAAGAAAAGAAAAACGGATTTTATCCGTTATGTTGCAAAAGGCTTACAAATTAAGATGTCGATGCAAATGTCGCAAATTTAGTATCTTGTACTAATATCACGTGGAAAATTGGATTAATTAGGTTTATTTCACGAATAGTCATTGTTTATTCGAATTTATTTTCCTCGCAGAAATGGCGAAAATAAAACTATCGTACAATCACTACTGATTTATTCTTGAAAAATCAATGATAAGGTTTATTTCAGAGATTAAAATGAATATTCCTAACCAGTACAATTGTTTTTATTCTATCAATTTATTTTTCAAAGCTGTTGTTTCTGAAAATTCAAAGCTAACCATTAATTAAGAGTTTCTCTTATAAGTACATAAATGAAAACTATTGATTGAAATCGGTTTCAGTAACATATTTAATGAAGTGGGTGTTTTTATTCCTTCTTTAGATAGGAAGTTTTGATGATAGAATTGGGGAGATATCGCTAAGCAGAGACAAAATCAATAAAATTCGTAAAATTTCTGTTTTGAGAAGAAATGTATTCCACACTAATAATTAGGGGGAAAAAATTGATCAATAAAAGCGCAAAAGCTGTAAATGGCAATTTAACTTCACCTGGTACAAAATGATTTTTCGAATTGGCTTTTCAAAGAAATGTCTCTTAGACGTGCCATTTTGTGGCAGGCAGAGTAATTCGGCACTATCTTTACAAATTTTATTTTTTAAAACAGAATTGATAAGTGCTTATTTTTTATTTGTATAATTTTTTTACTGTTACTGTCTGGCCTGTGGTTGCTTTTGGAAATAATAATTTTTTCATCAGTTATGTAAGAGAACTATATTTATAAAAAATAAAACTTAAAGTTTATTTCGTTTTAATTATGAAATATGTTTCTTTAATGATGAAGTATGTATGAAGTATGCTAAAGTATGCTCTTTTAATGATGAAAATGTTCAAATTCTACAAAATTAATAAATAATTAGATAAAAAAATAAACAAAATAAGAACTTCTTCCAAGTGCTATGAAACTTGCCTGTTATCGCATTAAATCATTTA